ACCTTCCAAGAGCTTTTCAGTGCCCTCAGAATAGAGCCTCAATACTTGCAAGGTGTTGCAGAGGACCCCTCATGAGCTGCCCCACCCCCAAACCCCTACACCCTGCTTCTGGCTTTGTCTCCACCACTCTGCTCTCCCCATCTCTGATCCACTCATGTGGGAATCTCCTTCAGTTCCTTGGTCTCATATCTTCCTTCCTCAGGGCCTTTACACATGCCTTCTCTCCTTGCAGGGCTTGTTTTCATTCCCTTTGTCTGGCTAACTTTTTTTTTTTTAAGATTTTATTTATTCATTTGAGGGAGAGACAAAGAAATCACAAGCAGGGGGAATAGCAGAGGGAAAAGCAGACTCCCCAGTGAGCTGGGAGCCTGATGTGGGACTCAAGCCCAAGACCCTGGGATCATGACCTGAGCCGAAGGCAGATGCTTAACTGTCTGAGCCACCCAGATGCCCCTGTCTGGCCACCTTGTAATTATTCTTCATATTTCAGCTTAAATGTTACTTCTTCAGGAAAGCCTACCCCAGCCACCCAAGAACTCCAGGATTCCACTAAAGATGCTTGTTTGCACACTTCTTCTTTTAAAAAAGATTTTATTATTCATGAAAGACACAAAAAGAGGCAGAGATATAGGCAGTGGCAGTAGCAGGATCCCTGTGGGGAGCCCAGTGTGGGACTTGATTCCAGAACCTCGGCATCACGACCTGAGCCAAAGGCAGATGCTCAGCCACTGAGCCACCCAGGTACCCCTTGCACACTTCTGATGATGTAATTATGTATTTGTTTAATGCCTTGTCTCCTCCATTAGAATATAGTGGCGTGAAGTTGGGGATCCTCTCAGTTTTGTTCACCACTGTATGCCCAGCATCCAGTCCTGGGCCTGGCGCATACAAGGGGCTCAGTAAACGTGTGCTGACCAATTGGCAGGTAGGCCAACATAGTATGACGTTATTGGTCAGTTCCAGAGGGATTTATTCCAGGCTGATTTTACAACATTTGAAACATGTTTCTTAAAGTCATTCTACATGGACAGATTCAGCTATATCTCTCAAATACTCCACGGGGCCCCAAAACAAATGAAGCAGTGGTTGTCTGTTGGCTGGAGCTAAGGTGAAGTCAGTAGGTGTTATACACTGGCTAGTATAACAGAGACATTACACTGAGGAAGGAGAGGGAGCTTTTCTTTTTTTTTTTTTTCTTTCTTTTTTTTTTTTTTTTTAGAGAGGGAGCTTCTTTATGGCAGATCCATGAGCCATCTGGCAGAGGAACATCACATTTAGTGTGAGAGGGCCTCCCCTTCTTCTTCTCTTTTCCCTCTACTATCCCTCTCCTTTTGTTTTCAGGAGAGACCTATGAGTGTTTATGAGAGACCTATGAGAAGCTGGGGGAAAAGAGCTGATGGAAAAGAAGTAACTGAAGATGCTACAGAAAGGGGATAACTGGACCCTAGTTCATTTATTCAATAAACATTAGACATCTATGGTGTGCTAGGCACTTTGTTAATCAATAGTGACACAAAGATGAATAAGACACAGTCCTTGGACTCTGAGGGACTCACAGAAAGAGAAATGACACATAAACAGGTAATGCTATTAACTATATAGTGCCTAGAGATAGATATGTCCAGTGTCTATACAGAATCCTATACAAGGGAGGCACCTGGGTGGCTCAGTGTTTGAGTGCCTGCCTTTGGCTCAGGTCATGATCCCGGGATCCTGGGATCAAGTCCCGCATCAGGATCCTCGCAGGGAGCCTGCTTCTCCCTTTATGTCTCTTTCTCTTTGTGTCTCTCATGAATAAATAAAATCTTAAGAAAAAAAAAAAAGGAAATGTAAGTTGGCATCCAAAAATAATCCCAAAGCAACTTCAAATCTTTTTGTAGTCTCAAGACAAATGCCAAAGGGGGGGAATTACATGATTTATAAGAAACCTTCTTGGGGATCCCTGGGTGGCTCAGTGGTTTGGCGCCTGCCTTCAGCCCGGGGTGTGATCCTGGAGACCGGGGATCGAGTCCCACATTGGGTTCCCTGCATGGAGCCTGCTTCTCCCTCTGCCTCTGTCTCTGCCTCTCTCTCTCTCTCCGTCTTTCATGAATAAATAAAAAAATCTTAAAAAAAAAAAGAAACCTTCTTAAAATCCCATTGTTCATTTCTCTTTCCCTTCTCCTTTTTTTTTTTTTCTTTCCCTTCTCCTGACTGTTGAGGATTCTATCTCTACCTGCTAGGTTCCCTGATCACTGATCATCATACAATATCAGAATAATAGGGAAAAGGTATTTCACCTATTCAACCAAGGAATTTCTCCCCCTGCCCTATAGCTTCTCTCTCCTGTTGCTCCAAACTTCCTCCACCTCTTCTTGAATCCATACCATCTTGACTCTTCTCCTTGCTTCCTCCTGTGCTCTTTTATTTGAGAACGAGATCATGAATAAGCATGAGTGGGGGGAAGGACAGAAGGAGAGGGAGAAGCAGACTCTCAGCTGAGCAAGGATCCTGATGCAGCAGATGCAGCGATGCTGGGCTCCATCCCAGGACCTTGAGATCATGACCCTAGCTTAAGGCAGAACTTAACTAACCCACCCAGGTGCCCCACTCCTATGCTCTTTTAAAACCCATCTGCTCTCACCAGCTGGTAATTCCTCATCCTACCCAAAGTAAACTAAATCATTCAAGACTCTGCCCTTCTCAGGCCTACCTTTCCCCTATTATTCCAATGATCTGGGAACCTAACAGGCACAGAATCTTCCTTAAGAAGTAAGAGGAGAGAAGGAGACTGTAGATATTCAGAGATGATTATTATTACTATTCCTTTTTAATTATTACTATTCCTATTATTATTTATATGATAGGTCTTCTTTATTGTAATTTTTAAAAAATATTGTATTTAAGTAATCCTTACACCCAGTGTGGGGCTCGAACTCATAGCCCTGAGATCAAGAGTCACATGCTCAGGATGCCTGGGTGGCTTAATGTTTGGGCGTCAGCCTTCGGCTCAGGGCATGATCCCGGAATCCGGGATTGAATTCCACATCGGGCTCCTTGCATGAGGCCTGCTTCTCCCTCTGCCTATGTCTCTGCCTCTCTCTCTATGTTTTTCATGAATAAATAATTAAAATCTTAAAAAAAAAAGTCACATGCTCTACCGACTTAGCCAGCCAGGTGTCTAGGTGTTTCAATTTTATTGTAATTTTATTTATTTATTTATTTATTTATTTATTTATTTATTTATTTATTTATAAAAAGATTTTGAGAGAGAGAGAGTGTGCATAAGCAGCAGAGGGAGAGAGACAAGCAGACTGTTGAGGGGGGGAGCCTGATTCGGGGCTTGATCTCAGGATCCCAAGATCATGACCTGAGCAGAAGGCAGATGCTCAACTGACTGAGTCACCCAGGCACCCTTATTTTTATTTTTTAAAAATAATTAATTTGGGACACCTGCATGGCTCAGTGGTTTAGCGTCTGCTTTTGGCTCAGGTTTCCCAGGGTCCTGGGATCAAGTCCCACATCGAGGTCCCCACAGGAAGCCTGCTTCTCCCTCTGCCTATGTCTCTGCCTTTCTCTGTGTCTCTCATGGAATAAATAAAATCTTCTAAGAAATTGTAAAGATTAAAAAGTAATTAATTTATTTGAGAAGGCAGGGAGTTGCAGAGGGAGAGAGAGAGAGGGAAATCTCAAGCAGAATCTGTGTGGAGCCCAGAGCCTGACATGGAGCTTGAGCCCATGACTCTGAGATCATGACCTGAGCTGAAATCAGGAGTCTGGATGCTTAACCAACTGAACCACTTAGGTGTCCCTTAAATTGAAGAATATATAGTTGAATATATAGTAATTGAAGAGTATATAGTAATGCATTATTATCTTCCTGTCAAAGACAGAAAACAATGTGTTAAGTGAAGTGATAGTTATCTGAGGCAAACAGAGAGGATGAGAGAGGATGAGAGGGAGTTATCCAGGAAGAAAGGAGTTGAGAGGCATTTCAGTCCCAGGAACAGGATAAGCTGAGTCCTAGGGATGGGATATAGCATGTGAGGCTGGGGTAGGGGAAGGGACTAAGAATACAGATGGGGAAGGGAAGAGGGATTTCTCTTTTTTGGAGGAATGTTGAAAAAAAGAAATAGTAGATGAGGAATATCCACTAGAAGGCTTTGGTTTCCACATAAAGCTTTTTTTTTTTCCCTTAAGATTTATTTCGAGAGAGAGAGAGAGAGAGAGGAGAGAGAGAGAATCTCAAGCAGACTCCCCCTTGAAAGCAGAGCCTGATTTGGGCTCGATTCCACGATGCTGAGATCATGACCTGAGTCGAAATCAAGAGTTGGCTGTTGAACCAACTGAGCCACCCAGGAGTCCCTCACAATCAAGGTTTTTTTATTATTATTTTTCTTTTTTTATTCAAGGTTATTTTGATATGGAGACAGATGAGGCTCCAGAAAAATGAAGGATTGGTACAGGTGCCTGGTATTGCTAGATAGACATCAAGACATGGCCACAGGGATCCCAGAGATGCAAAAAGTCTTGCGAGGGTGAACTTAGACTGGGTGCACTGGCATGTTTTGGCTTGATTTTTTTTAATCACCTAAAAAATTTTATGAGAGCGAGCGAGCACACACAAGCAGGGAGAGGGCCAGAGGGAGAGGGAGAAGCAGACTCCCTGTTGAGCAGGGAGCCTGATGCAGGACTCCATCCCAGGACCATCCCAGGATCATGACCTAAGCCAAAGGCAGACACTTAGCCAACTGAGCGACCCAGGACCACCCCCCTCGCGTTTTAGCTTTATTCGATTTACTTCTTCAGCAAAGTTTTATGACTTTGGGGATGGTCGGGGGGGTGAAGGATTGTAGCACAGCTCCTTAAACTGGTAGACACACAGTTTAAGTTTATTGAGTGATATTCATAAAACCCAGTGGAGCAGAGAAACAAGTGCAGCCAGAGGTGACTTGAGGTTCAAGGTGGAGCAGGGCAGGATGACTATGATACATTTGTTGGCCACATAAACCTTCTGAGATGAAGTAGAATGACATAAGGCACAGGCGATTGGCTAGATCGGTTCAACAAACATTTACCGGGTGCAGGTTCTGAGTAAGGTGCTGTGGGGGCTGCCAGGATAAGCCAGCTGCCTTTTGGGAGTTCCAGGTCTTACAAAAATAATACTTTACAAAGTATTACTTCCATAAAGGCGGCAACAGAAACACAGCACTAGAGAGTGAGAATTTCAATGACTCAAAGTCAGGGATGGCTTTGGGGCAGGGAGCATTAGAGGTGAATTTTCAGGATGGGTGTGTATTTGAAGGTTGGCTTTATTGGTTAGGAAGGAATCTTCAAAGGGTAGGGAACCTCTTGGGAAAAAGAGCAGAGGTGGGAGGGTCCCAGATGCATTTAGAGGATGGCGAATCTATGCGGCTGCAGGAATAGTTTGGCCTGTGGGGAATTAGCCTGGAAACATATGTCTGAGTTGATTTATAAGGGGCCTTGAATGTCAGGAAGAGAGATACAGAGATCTCCCTGTATAGAGTGGTATCTATTTGCAAAAGATCAACTGCAGAAGATTGTTGTGTGCAGAAAGGTAACATGATGTTTTAAGCCAGGGCTAGAACAGTTGAAACATATAAGAGTAGATACCAAAATATCTTCTTGTTCAGCTGAGAAGAGAGATTTTAATTATATAATTAAATTCATTAATGGGGGAAGGGGACTCTTACTTCCCAAGGCCAGCCATGACCCTCTTTTAATTTTATAAACAGACAGAGAAGCAAAACACAAAAAAACAAGTGTCCAGACTTCCATCTCTGGGAAAACTGAAGTAAATACTGACACAGGCTTGCTTTGTTTTCCCAAGAGAGCTCTCCCAGGCGATTTCTCTAATTATCCAAGAAAAAAAAAATTTTTTTTAAGCTTGTTTTTTCCCTTTAGGGTACAGCTGAGCTGAAGGGAAAACTGAAGTCTTGCCTTAGGTTCTCCAGCTTTGGTTCGGTTGCAGTATTAGTCTCCGAGGGACTCTCTCCGAGGTCTCTAAGCCAGGTGTCTCTAGGCATTTGCTCACAGCAACAAGAGGGGAGCTTAGAAGAAATAGCAGATCCTGGCGTTCTACAAAAGGGCTGATTAAAAAAAAAAAAGGCGGCTTGGGTGGGGCTCTATCTTTTTAGGATATACATAGGAAAAGTAATTGAGGTGGAAGCCGTGCCCTCGCCTCTGGTCAGGACCTCTGGACCTGAAAGCGTCAGAGCCACACACCCACAGGTGGACAGCGGGTCCCTACTCTCCCGCCGGCAGCGCTCGGCCTTTAATTCCGCCAGGCTCCCAGAGGGACTGTTTCAGCTACAGTCTAGCGCGCTCTGCAGCCAATAAGAAACCAGGACTCTCCGCCCATCTCGGGTTTTCACCAATCGGCGTCCAGCACTTTGGCCTGCTAGCGGCGCCTCGGTTGTCCGAGAAGGGAGGCAAGCCCCCTTAGAGTTGCCAGCACCGGACATGGCCGCGGCCCCTGGAGGAGGGGAAGCGAAGTGAGGAGGGGGCAGGGAGGGAAGAGGACGCGGGCGAGGAGGACAGCCCCCCGGGCCCCGGTAAGTACCAGGAGGCCGGTGGCCCGAGGCAAGGGGAGCAGGGAAGCAAGGGGGCGTGGGGCTCGGCCTTCCACGCCCTCTGGATTCTTGGCCAGGGAGAGAGGAGTCTGGGGTCTGCACCCAAGAAATGGCCTCGGGGGATCTCTTCGGAGGCGGAGTCCGGGGACCGGCTCTTGCCTCCAGCTCCCGGCCGCTTCCTTTCTCCGGGTGCTCACACTTGCCCTCGGCCCTGGCTCGGCCCCTTGGGGGTCCCGCGTCCGATGGGAGCCTCCTGCCAACAATGAATCCCGGCCCCAGGGTGGCGGTGTCTGGGCCCCGGCTCAGGGGGCTGCGCTGTATTGACGGGCCCCTGGGGACCCGCGCCCCCAGCCCCCGGTTCAGACCGTTGTCCCCGCTGCGCGCGCTCTCAGCTGCCACCTGGGCCCTCGTGCTGACCACGTCCGTGTCCAGGTGGATGGAGCCCGAGGTGGATGGAGCCCGAGGGCCTTGACCCCGAGGGCCTTGACCCCGAGCGGCCCGGTGACGGTGCAGTTGGAGCGTGCCCTGCCTTTTTTTTTTTTTTCTTCTTCTTTTTTCTTTCCGTCTTTACAGAAGCGTTTAAAGACTCCTTAGAAGCAACCATAGGAACGTAATACTTGCCATCCTGCAAACCGACTGCTGTGCTTGCCGCCGCGCCCTCCTTCCCCTGCCGCACAGCCCTGAAGTCCAGCTCGCAGTCCCTCGCGTGCGCGGTGGGAGCCCCTGCCGGGTGCCCGGTGCCAAGTGCCAGGGAAACCCTGCCCTTCTTTCATTGGTGTGGAACCACGGGCTGCACTTTGGCGTGTTCCTTGATTTGGTCACGTGCTGCCACATCCCACCCTCTCTTTTTTTTGTGTGTGTGTGGCTCCAGGGGAAAAAAAGGAGGGAGGTTTGCACCGAGCCTGTTTTCCTGCAAGCCTGTGATTTTTGCATCAGAGGAGCTGATGGTTTTCTCCTGCTTTGTCCAACACACTCCGCTTTAGCGACGTACTTCAGCTATTCCCTGGGTACTCTTAGACACTCTAGGACGGTGGAAGTGGGAGGGAGGAGTTTTAACGCTTTAACTTTACAAATGCGGAGAGTAACTTTTGGGAGAGGCAAAGGGGCAGGGGCAGGGTCACCTGGAGCCAGGACTGGCACTCTGAAGTCTAAGAGTCTGAAGTTCTTTATCCACCAGACCAGTTGTCTGCTAGGTGTGATTGAGAAATAAAGTTCCTTAACTTTTCTGAGCTTCTTGCAGAGTAATTGCTTGCGTTAGAGATAGTATGTGGAGGATCTCTATCTATAGGTATATATGGCATGAGCACTAGCACTAGATTTTTTTTTTTTTTTAAGGATCTTATTTATTTATTCAGGAGAGACACAGAGAGAAAGGCAGAGACTTAGGCAGAGAGAGAAGCAGGTTCCCCGTGGGGAGCCTGATGCAGGACTCGATCCCTGGATCCCGGGATCATGCCCTGAGCCAAAGGCAGACGCTCAACCGCTGAGCCACCCACTTACTAGGCCACCCACTTACTAAGTTCATAATACATTTTTGCATTCATTATTTGTAAGTAACCAACAGGTAGTTCCCTGGCTGATTTCTTGTATTAATATTTATTGTAGTCTTTATAAATATTTTGAGGTGAAATGATTTCAGTGATTCTCAGCTGAGAGGGCAGGAAAGGATGGAGTCAGAGCAAGGTAGGCTGTCTGTTTTTTGGGAGAACAATTGTAGTGTTTATTAATGGGGATGTGTTTTGTGTAAGAACAGTGTAGAGGCAGAAAACACTTGAGAACCACGGAGAAAAGAAGTATCACTATGGTATGTCTTCATGGTAATCTTGGCAAGAGATCGGCCAATCTTAGTATTCTAACAGGTAGTTTTAATTTTTTTTTTTAAAGCAATGGCACAAGTAAGGTTCATCATCTAGAATAAAATAAAAATGTTCCATGGAGTAAAAAAGTTTGAAAATCACTCTAAAGATCAGAACACATCAGAACATAGCCTATTATTAACCCTGGAACAGGGGCAGCATGTTCAAATAAAATCCACAAATTCTCTGAAGTCTTATTTTAGCTGCTGTGTTAGCTCTAACTTCCTTGTTCACTAGTTCTTTGTGTTAGAACTTCAAATAGAGAAACTGGTGGGTACCGTGGAACAGTTCCTGGGCCAGGGAGGTGAAGTACAAACCATCCCCTTGATAATCAGCCGTCAAATAATTGAGAGTTAACTGCCCTTGAACTCCCCCCCACCAGCCTTACCCTGTCCCTTGTTTGTGGTGACCCGACATCAGAAGATTAGATGGAGAGAGCCAGGGTTGGGCGGTGAAATGGAGGAAAACAGAAAGCCCTTCACATTTCTATTTTGAGAAGTTGCTAGGGAGTGCCAGCTCCAAGTGTTGAGAATCAGCCTTTTGGAAAGCTTAACTCCTGCCCAACTAATGAGAAGTGAAGGTCACGATCCTTTGGTTCTTCCTCAATGCTCTTTCCCTAATGTTGAGCTTGGGAAACAATTTCTGTAGAGAAGGGGAGGAGTGCTAATGTAAATACTACCTACACTTGAGGCTTTATTGAACCTTACCTGGTGAGTCCAGGATGAACTCTTATAAACCTCCCCAGTTGGAAAGACACAAAGACTCTAAATCCATTCCTGATGTTCAAGTGAGAAGTTTCTAGGTCATGGTTGGCACTTCTCCACTCCTACATGTATGTCAATATTTATCTTGTTATTGTGTCAGTGTTGTTTCCTTGAGAGTGTCTTTCTTTACCTAAAAGATAGCCTCCTTTAAAAATATTGTTTGAAAAAAAAATGTTGTTTGAACCCTGGTTTCTAAGCCTGCATTTGTGTCCAGTAGCACAGGTGAACTCAAGGGTAAGCCAAAGCTGTAGCAGGAATGTTCTTCTGCCGGAACTGACCCGCCAACCAGAATGTGTGGTTTGGTGATCAGGGGTTTGTGTAATAATAATCTTTGCTTCTGGCTGCTGAGACGGTAGTAAACAGTATTGGTCACATGGTATGGCAAGTAGGGTAAGGGCCAGATTTAGACCCGCCAAGATGCCTGCCTCAAGCTGGGCACATCTCACACTGATTGCTTTGGGCTTCCCTAGTTCCAGAGACCCAAGTGGTGGGGGAACCAGGGGTGCTCAAGGGATGGAGACCCTTTCAAGGGCTTACAGTGGCCTTTGGGAAACCAGAAACCTCAGTATAGTTATATGAACCCAGTTTTTTAATTTCAGGATCCTTTTGAGAAAGAGATTTGTGACAGGAATATTCCTTCATAGAAAGGCGAACAGAAAAATACTGGGAAATACTTGGAAAGGATATACACTAGAGAGAATGTCAAAGGTGAGTTTAAAAGAGCATATATATCCTTAAAGGGAAGAGTATTGCTTTGTAACATAAGCCAGAGCTAATTGCAAAATCAGAGTCAGAAGTTAGTGATTTTTTGGTTATCATGGTAAAATATACATAACATAAAATTGACCATTTGAACCAATTCAGTAGCATGAAGTGCATTGACACTGTTGTGCAAACATCCCCACCATCCATCTCCAGAACTTCTTCTGCCCAAATCAAAATTCTGTCCTCCTTAGCACTAACTCCTCATGTCCCCTCCTGCCCCCAGTGTCCAGTGATCACCATTCTCCTTGCTGTCTGTAGGAGTTTGCTTACGCCAGGAACTTCAAATAAGAGGAATCATCATATAGCATTTGTCCTTAGTGTAAGGTCACTAGAGTTTATCCATGTCGTAGCATATGATAGACTATTCTTATTTTTTAAGGCTCAGTAATATTCCATTGTATGTATAGATCACATTTGATTTACCCATTCATCTGTTGATGGACACTTGGCTTGCACCCACCTTTTGGCTACCATGAATAAGGCTGCTAGGTACTTGAGTATACAAATACTTGTTGGAGTCTCTGTTTTTTACTTCTTTGGGGCTTGTATCCAGAATTATTGCTAATTTTCTAAATTTTCACATGGTTTGAAAATTGAAAGGTATAAATATATGTACAGTCAGATTCCTCCCCTCCCACTCTTGTCCACAGCCACTCCGTTCCAACTTAATAATTTTTTCTTTTGTGAGCTGTGCTTTTGGTACTTAAGAAATCTAAACCAAAATCACAAAGATTTTCTCCTATCTTATAATTTTACATTTAGATATCAGATCCATTTTTGTGTATAGTGCAGGCTGTATTTCCAAGTTCTTCTTTTCTCTTAATCTGAATGTTCAGATTTTTCCAGTGCAGTGTGTTGAAAAGACTACCTTTTCTCCACTTTTGCAGACTTCTCAAAAAATCAATTGACCATATATATCTGGATCTATTTTTGGATATTCTATTACCAGGTCAATACCACATTGCCTTAATTACTGTGGCTTTAAAAACCTTGAAGTCTGGTGGTGAAAGCCTTCCAAACTTTGTTCTCTTGGGGTCTAACGTGAACGTCTCTTGTTACAAGTGGAACTGAGCATCTTTTCATGTGCAGAAGCTACTGGATTTCTTGATCTCTTTTGTCTCTCAGGGTTAGAAGACATCATAAAAGGTTATCTTTTACTTACTTGATGTATTATTATCTTCATAATTTTCCAGCCTCTGCTTGGATCCTTCTGATGCTGGGGAATTCATTGTCTCTCAGGGAAGCCTGTTCCTTTAAAAAAAAAAAAAGATTTTATTTATTTATTCATGAGAGACACACAGAGAGAGGCAGAGACATAGACAGAGGGAGAAGCAGGGGCTCTGTGCAGGGAGCCTGATGTGGGACTCGTTCCCAGGACTCCAGAATCACGACCTGAGCTGAAGGCAGACGCTCAACCACTGAGCCACCCAGGTGTCCCTGTTCCATTTTTTTTGTTTTGTTTCCTTCTTTTTTTATTCCATTTTTTATGCGGTTCTAGTTATATAAAAGATACCACTCATGTTGGGTCCCCCCCCAAACACCCCCTCAGAGTAGGTCATTGATAAAAATATTGATTAGGACACTACCAAGGATAGAACCCTGAGGCTTGTTATTAAAAACCTACCCACAACTGAATATCAGTCCATCAGTTAGTACCCTTTGGGCACAGCTACTCAACTGAATACCAGTCCACCCCATTGTGTTTTCGGTGTTTTGGTTATGGTTAGAATATAAGTGTAGTTAATGAAGGTTGTGTTGGAAGGAATTAGAAGAACAGTCAATTCCTCAGCTTGCCCTCAACCTGAATCTTGGGCACCTACTTAGCTCTTTGTGAGGTGGTTCTGAACTTGGCAGCAGGAAGCGTCCATCCCTTTGTTTCCATGGCTACTATGCTGCCTTTGTCTAGATACTCATCCTGGCAAACCAAGATTATTATAATTTTCATCTACTTCTTCTGCCTGTAATTTCTTTCCCTTCCCTCCCTTTTTTTAAAGATTTATTTATTTATTCATGAGAGACACACACAGAGAGAGGCAGAGACATAGGCAGAGGGAGAAGCAGGCTCCTCTCAGAAAGCCTGATGTGGGACTCAATCTCGGATCCTGGGATCACATCCTGAGCCGAAGACAGACACCCAGCCGTTAAGCCACCCAGGGATCCCCTTCCTTCCCTTTCTGATCCATTCTCTACCCTCTCAAAATACTGGGACCCGCTCAGAACCTTCAGTGACTCCCCAGGGTTATTTTGGTTTGGCGTTTATGCACCTGTGCATTTTGGCCCCTGATTCCCTGCTCAATATAGTCCTTTATTTCTTCTCTCTTTCTTAGATCCTCTGCTCTAATTGAACAGATCGGATCACCATTTTTCTTTCCCCCTCCCCTGTTTTTTTAGTATGTCCCACACCCAGCATGGAGCCCAACAGGGCTTGTACTCACGACCCTGAGATCAAAATCTGAGCTGAGATCAAGAGTGGGACACTTAACCTACTACTGAGCCACCCAGCACCCCAGATCACCATATTTCTAAAGGGCTCCATGCTTTTCTTCCTTGATGCCTTTGTTGAGACTTCTAGTTCTTGCTTGGATTGTTCTTACTCTTCTCGTTCTTTTTTTTTTTTTTAAGATTTTATTTATTTATTCATGAGAGACACACACACACAGAGAGAGAGAGAGAGGCAGAGACACAGGCAGAGGGAGAAGCAGGCTCCATGCAGGGAGCCTGATGTGGGACTCGATCCCAGGTCTCCAGGACTCGATCCCGGGTCTCCAGGATCACACCCTGGGCTGAAGGCGGCGGCGCTAAACCGCTGAGCCACTTAGGGCTGCCCACTCTTCTCATTCTTAAGCTTTCCTAAGTGCACTGCTTGAGCCTTGGCTTCTTTTTATTATTTTTTAAAGAATTTATTTATTTATTTATTTAGAATGTGAGCTGGGGGGAAGCAGAAGGAGAGGGAGAAAAAATCTAAAGCAGATTCCATGGTGAACATGGAGCCTGAAGCTGGGCTCGATCCCACAATCCTGAGATCATGACCTGAACCAAAATCAAGAGTCAGCTAGCTGCTCAACGAACTGAGCCATGCAGGTGCCCTGGGCCTTGGCTTCTTTCAGCAAGGGATTCCTGGCCCCCACACCCCTGTTTCAATTCTCATTTGGTATCTCAACGCCAAATTAAATATCAGTTATATTTTCTCAGAATATTCAAAGCCTGGCTGTATTATAAATCCCTGTTGTGAAGGGACCATATCTTATACTTTTGTGAAAATAAGACTATTCCTTACATTGAGTAAATATATATGGTTATTACACACAGTAGGCACTGGATAAATGTTTCCTTCATCAACCCTTCTCATTCATTCATTCATTCATTCATTCATTCATTCATTTATTTATTTAGATTCTATTTATTTTACAGAGAGCTAGAGAGAGCCAGAGAGCACAAGCAGGGGGAATGCCAGAGGGAGAAGGAGAAGCAGGCTCCCCAATGAGCAGATAGTCCAGTTGGGGATGTGGGACTTAATTCCAGGACCCTGGGATCATGACCTGAGCCAAAGGCAGATGCTTAACTGAATGAGCCACCAGGCACCCAACCCTTCTTCATATCCACCAAACTTTGCATGTGCTAGACATTTTTAGAGGTTGGTAGAGCTAATTTAGTTGGAACTTAGATCCCACCTTACTTTTTAGAAGTCAGCTGTATCTACTGAGGCATTTTTTCCATATGATAAAATGCACCTGTTTAAGTATAGAGTTCAAAGAGTTTTGACAAATATATACACCCTTGTAACCACCACCCACAGTCCAGATATTGAACTAAAGGCTCCTGTGCTCTTTACAGTTTTTCCCTCCTTGTAACCCCAGGTAACCCCTCACCTGCTTATTGTCAGTATAAATTTTAAATTTTTAAAAAGGATTTTATTTATTTATTCGTGAGAGACAGACAGAGAGAGAGGCAGAGACACAGGCAGAGGGAGAAGCAAGCTTCATGCAGGGAGCCTGACATGGGACTTGATCCTGGGTCTCCAGGATCAGGCCCTGGGCTGAAGGTGGTGCTAAACCACTGAGCCACCTGGGCTGCCCAATTGTCACTATAGATTAATTTTGCCTGTTCTAAATTTTATGGAAATGAGATCATATGCTATGCCCTCTTTTGTGCTCCTTTCGCTCAGCAAATGTTTTTGAGATTCAGCCACATTGTTGCATTGTATCGGTAGCTCACTCCCTTTGGTTGCTGCACAGAATTCCATTGTATGGATATACCACAGTTCATTCACGTGTGAATGGACGTTTGGATTGTTTCCAGCTTTTGGCCATTTTAAATAAAGATGCTATGAACATTTGTAGACAGTTCTTTTTGAGGAAGTATGTTTTCATCACTGGGAAGTATGGTGAGTGGATACTCAACTTTCTTTCCTTTTTTTTTTCTTTTAAGATTTTACTTATTCATGAGAGATACAGAGAGGAGGAGAGACAGAGACACAGAGGGAGAAGTAGGCTCCCCACAGGGAGCCTGATGCTCACTTGATCCCTGGATCTGGGATCAAGCCCTTGTGGTGAAGGCAGACGCTCAACGCTGAGCCACCCAGGTGGCCCTGGATACTCAACTTTATCAGAAACTGCCAAAATGTCTTCCAGAGTGGTTGTACCACGCGACATTCCCACCAGCAGTTTATGAGCTTGTATCCTCATCAACACTAAATATTGTCATTCTTTTTCATTATAGCCATTCAAGTGCGTATGTATTAATATTGGGGACACCTAGGTGGCTCAGTAAGTTAAGCATCTGGTTCTTGATTTTGGCTCAGGTCATGATCTCAGGGTTATGGGATGAATATATTAATATAAATGTTAGCATTTAATTTAATTATTATTTTTTTTAATAAATTTTTTTTAAATTTTTATTTATTTTATGATAGTCACACAGAGAGAGAGAGAGAGAAAGAGGCAGAGACATAGGCAGAGGGAGAAGCAGGCTCCATGCACCGGGAGCCTAACGTGGGATTCGATCCGGGGTCTCCAGAATCGCGCCCTGGGCCAAAGGTAGGCGCCAAACCACTGCGCCACCCAGGGATCCCTAATTTAATTATTTAAACATTTCATATTAATATTGAATCTTCTAACTCATGAACATGGCATATCTCTCCATTTATTTAGGTCTTGAATTTCTCTCAATAGCATAGCGGCCTTACATATATATTTTTAAAAGTCATCCCTAAGTATTCACTATATTTCCTTATAACATATAGGAATTTAATCTATATTTGCATTTTGTATTTTGACCTTGTATCTTGTAAACTTACACACTTAACTTGTTCTATCCCTTAGAATTTTTCCTATACGATCGAGTCTTTTGCAAATAAAGAGTTTTACATATTTTATAGTCTTTAGGCCTTTCGTTTTCTTCTTCCCCTTACTTTTTTAAAAAATATTTTATTTATTCAAGAGAGACACAGAGAGAGAGAGAGAGAGAGAGAGAGAGAGAGAGAGAGAGGCAGAGGGAGAAGCAGGCTCCATGCAGGGAGCCCAATGTGGGACTCCATCCTGGTCTCGAAGGATCACACCTGGGGCTGAAGGCGGCAGCGCTAAATCACTGGGCCACTGGGGCTGCCCCCCCGCCTTTTTTAAAGTAAGCTGTAGGCCCAGTGCAGGGCCGAACTCATGACCCTGAGATCAAGAGTACCATGTTCTGGCACACCTGGATGGCTTAGTGGTTTTGCGTGTGCCTTCAGCTCAGGGCATAATCCCAGAAACCCAGGATCGAGTCCCACATCGGGCTACCTGCATGGAGCCTGCTTCTCCCTCTGCCTGTGTCTCTGCCTCTCTTTCTGTGTCTCTCATGAATAAATAAATAAAATCTTAAAAAAAAAAGTTCCATATTCTACCTACTGAGCCAGCCAGTTACCCTCTTCTTACTTTTGAGTTTATTCTTCACCTAGGTGGCACTTTGTTCATATTTCTTGTTTCCTGGTTATAGTAATGGCAAGTGTTTATTAAGACTTACTATAAGCTAAATATAGTACTAGACCCTCTGCATATAATATTTTATATAATTTTTATTGCTTCTTCGTGAAATAGGCATCTTTCTATGAACGAGGATACTGAAGCTCAGAGAGACAAGTAATTTGCCGAGGGCACTTGGCGCTTGATACATGTTAGAGCCAGGATTTGAACCAGGGGTATGTGGCTTCGAGGCCTGTGCGTTTTTTCACAACGGACCAGAGGTAGAACTGGCCCTTTAAGGATCTAGCTGCTGGTTTCAGATTAGACAGTGAGGACCGTTCTTTCCCAGAATCCCACATATAGAGTGATGGGAAAACAGAGACTCTTAGAAAAATGTCCTGCTCCTGGCTGCCCTCTCTGAATGCTGTGGTTCCAGCTGGCCGCAGAGTTATTTCACTCCTGTTGTGTTGGCAGAAGGAGCCAAGCACAATCCCCATCTGGCTTCTGGTGCCTTGCCCTGTGTGGCGACTACCTCATCCAGGCCCTGCTGGGATGGGGTGCATGGGGACCTTGAGCTGTACTTGTAAACAGGGACTGGGCTGTGTGAGTCAGAGCGGCCTTGGGGAGACATGGATTCAACCTCTCAGGATCCCATTTCAGTTGGCTGCCAAAGACCAAATGTCACTGCATTGAGAGGCTGCTTCCAGTGTCACCATCTGTCTCTGACCCTCTGGGGCTAGCTCACTCAGCTCTGAAAGCCTTGGTTGCAAAGGGCAGGGATAGGGAGAGACGTGGAAGCACAGGCCTGTCAGGTCAGCACTAGTGCCATCTTGCAAGGAATCACACGGGGTTTTGGAGTGGAGTTGGTGGCTGCAGAGCTGAGGCCTCCTGGCTGGGCTCTCTGGGTGCAGCTTTTTTATTGTTTCTAGACAGCTCTTTTCTGGATCAATTCTTCTGGGCTTCTGACAAGCTCCACTTCATGAGGCTTTGCTATAGGCCCCAGAAAGAACTGCCCTAGTCAGCAGGTTAATGCTTTCTCCACAAGTAGTCACCGGGCACCGAACCAGATTACTCAGTGGCACTCTACCCAAACACTCCCCAGTGTGAAATTATTAAAGTGTGTTGGTTGCCAGGATGGGTGGGTGAGGATCAGGGGTTGTGTGGGGAGATAGGACTAGTCTTCATTTTCCAGATGGTTGTCAGATTGGATCACCCATCCTGGTAGGTATCTGCCCAGGTGCCTGTGGAGCACTGCCCTGTCAGCAAAGCACACAAGAAGCTCAGCTGTATGGCATGTGGGCATGTGTGTGTGTGGGCATATGTGTCTGGGTGTGCATGTGCGGGCACATGTGTGCGGGCATGTGCATGTGGGCATGTTTGTGGGCACATGTGGGTGGGTTCCAGTTTACCTTAATGCTTACCTTTCTTTATTTTTAAAATTAATTAATTCATTGTTTTTCCTAATCTCTACTTTTTTTTTTAAGTTTTTATTTATTTAAGTCATCTCCACACCCAATGTGGGGCTCCAATATACACCTGAGCCAGATGGGCACCCCTAGTCTTTATTTTTTATTTATTTATTTAAAATATTTTATTCATTTATTCATGAGAGACACACAGAGAGAGGCAGAGACATAGGCAGAGGGAGAAGCAGGCTCCCTGTGGGGAGCCTGACACGGGATTCGATGATTGAATCAAATGATCGATTGATCTGGGATTATGCCCTGAGCCAAAGACAGACGTCCAACCAGAGTTACCCAGGTGCCCCTAGTCTTTATTTTTTAAAAAAGCTGAGAAGCCAAGGTTTCTCCTGCTTGCTGCAAGTCAGTGAGCCAGAGTGCACATGGAGCAACATATAGCATGCGTCCGAAAATGAGGGTTCATAGAGGGGAAGCTTCGGACTTCCAGAAAGCCCTGTGCTGCCTTCTCCTTCCCAGCCTCAGGGTGCAATCCACGCACAGCTGAATACCTGGGGAAACTGTGCTGGCTGGGCCCGGGCGTCCAGGGTTCCAGTCTTTTCCACGAGCCTCTCTGTTGTGTATATACCATCCTGTTTCTCACTAGCTGCCCATGCAACACCCTGGACTGATGGGGTCTCTCCCTTCCTTCTTGCCAGATGCTGTGACAGTGACAGAGTCATTGGTCCTTGTACATGCCGGGGAGGAGCCTTCCTTTTGGGGGTGACCGCATTCATCTGGGCATGCCTGCAGTACTCTGGGCCCATGGATGTGAAGGAGAAGCGCACGGTAGGCCACGTTTGTGACCTGATGGGTATTATCTATGTGTCTCTGTTGGACTCTCCCTACTTGCGTTGCCTGGGAGTTCCTCTTTTGGGGGCTTTAAACCAAAAGTGAGAGAGGGGGCTTTGGCTCTCAGGATTGGGGTGTGGGATGGCGGTCCCCCCTGAGACAGTGCTATTACTGGGCTGGGAAGCACTCAGGGAGCTGGGAGCACAGACCAGAGGGTGGGGACCAGTTAGCATGCTGGCCTGGGAGCAGGTTTCTGATTTGGGTTGGCTCTGAGCCAGTCTTCCACCTCTTGCCCAGGGGTGTGTAATTTCATTTGTTTGCTCTTTGCTAGGGCTCTGCCCCAACCTGCTGAGCGATGTTGAGTACTGTTGGGCACCCTCTCTGTGGTTAGGGAAGAGCTCCTCAGTCAGACTCCAAACACAGCTGCATAACCAGCTGGAGGCAAGGAGCCAGGAGGCCCAGGCACCCGCAAGGTCGGCCCCCTCCTCCCAGCCTGATGCAGGTACACCTCCCAGCCTCTGTATACTGCCTTCCATAGGCAGTGGATTTTTTGGCAATTGGAGTATCCTTCCCCTGTGACAAAGACTGCCCCAGGGGAGGTCCTTCTGTCTCTTTCCTGGACTTCTGGCACAGCATCCTACAGGTCCCCTTTCTCTCATCTCCTTTCCCCACTTGCTGTAAGAGAAAGGTGTCCAAAATGCAGAGCTGGCTTTTATCACCTCTGCTTAAGAGTCTGCAGTGGCTCCGCGCCACCTGCTGAAACACTGAATGTGACGGGCAAAGCTCACCATCATCCCACTGCTGCCCGTTGGCCCTGGGTCCCTAGCCTCCCCTACTTTGCCTTTACCTGTAATTCTGCATGCTTTAGGGTTTGGGTACGCTGTCCACATTTAGGCTCTTTTTTTTTTTTCCTGACAAGCTCCTACTCTTCTTTATTTCAAGCCCCATTACCTTCTCCTGATAAGTCCTCCTTCCCCCTCCAGAAGTCCCTCCTTCCAGGATTCATAGTAGTACCTCCACCACTGTGCCCACCACGCTGTATTGAAACAATCTGCCTGTCCCACTCTATCCCAGTGTCCCTGGCTCCTAGTGGAGAGCCTGGCACGCAGCAAGGGCTTGGTGAATATTTATCAGTTTGAACTTAAGGACGGCAATTTTCCTGTCAAAGAGATCTTGGAAGGTTTGGAGAAGGAGCAGTGGGTCCACACGCAGGGTCCCTGGTGGTGCCTGCCTGCCCGCTGGCTCATTCAGCTCCAGGCTTCACATGCCTCTGGGCCGGCTGTGGATCAGGCTTGTGGGCCTGAACCTGGAACAGCTGTGTGCAGCCTCCTGGTTACAGATGCCCCTGGCTGCTCTGCAGGTGTCCATCCTATGCACGATTGCACAGAGGGAAAGCTACGTTTACTTTGTCCCTAGCCTGAATGCAAGGCCGCCACATCCAATTACAAGAGCTGTGCATTGTTCAGTGACGGGGGGCAGCCCCCAGAAGCTTTGCTGTTGTGTGATGTGGTGGCCAGCCGGGGTAAGGCTGACAGCATTGTCCTCTGGTTCCAACCTGTTACTGAAACACTGCTTCCTAGCAAGCCAGGGAAACAAAGTTCTGTGAGCCAGCGGGCTGGCTTCTCTCTCAAGCCTGAGCAAGAACACTCCAGGGCTTGGGAGGGATCGCTCTTAGGGGCCGTTCTGCCTACAGGATTTTTCTTTATCCTCTTTGTCTTTCTGGAGAGATGAGTTCTGAACTAGAAACATTGTTAGCCGTATTCATGGAATACCTACTTGGGGTTGGTGGAGCTCTAGGCTCTGGCAGGGTCACCCCCACTCCAGTTTGGAGAGGCTTGTGATCCAGCTGAGGAAATAATAGTATAAGCAATGAAGAAATAGAACTGGACAGAGGTTCTACTGGAAGTGGCTTGTGAGTTGTATACGTGGTTTCTAAAGATTACCCCAGTGACCTCCTAAGGTCGGGGCTTCTTAGAGGGTGGAGGGCGTGGGAATGCAGAGAGCTGGGTGGCGGAAGTTGATCGAGAGGGGCCTGGCATTCCCTGGTGGTAGCCCAGGATCAGCTTGGCTGTTGCTGGCTGCTTTTCTGCTCCCCCACCCCTTCATGACCCAGCAGTCCTCCGTGTCCCATCCGAACCTCCTTTCCTCGGCTCCAGTCCCCTGTGGTGGACAGGCTGTAGTGGTGAATATCTGGACTTGTTTCTTAGGTGCAGTGCTCCACTTTTCATGTGTAAGAAGGGGACAGGATGGAAGTCCTGCGGAGTCCTGGGTTAGGCCCCGTGAGCTGCTCTTTCTAGGGCCTGTCACACAGGAGGGAGAATGTTTGCTTAGCTATGGCCCCCACAGAGCAGGGCCTTGGTTGGGAGTGAGAGGGAAGTGTGTCCTGGGAGCAGGGGACAGGGGGACACTGGTCTCTCCTTGGTCTGCTAAGGCTGCAGCCCAATGTGTAGCTGACTCCTCCTCAGGGAGACCTCCTACCCTTAACTTCTGGACATCCTGGCGCCTCCTTTTCTGCTCCCGTTCAGATCTGGATTTGGCAGGGGTGGGGTGGGAGGACAAGGAGCTGTGCTTCAGAAGGGGGAGAGGAGAGGCTGGCTTGAACTCAGCTGAGGCTCTCTCTCTCCCCCTCCTTGCAGCTGGCAATGGTGGAGATGGTAGAGATGGTGTTGTCGGTGTTGTCTGGGAAACAGGGCCCTGGAGAGGAGTGCTCAGGGTCTAGCCTGCACTCTCTAGTTATTGGACCTGTTGGCTGCTTCCTCTCCCTTGGGATTTTGCAGCCCCTTCCTAAGAGTGGCCTGGACATAGGCTGAGATGTTTCCGGTTTACTCCCAGGGCCTTTTGGGGGTCTGTGCAGGGAGCTGCCTGTGTGTCAAATTCAGAGTCCCGGAGCGATCGATGCTCAGGCTCTGCTTGCTGCTCCTGGAATCATAGGTCCCTGGGTGGGAGTCAAGGCCCTGTGTCTGCAGGGGGCTCCTGTCCCAGAAGCTCTCTGGCAGGTATGTCTAAATGTGACTGCATGTTTATCAGCTGCTGGCTAAGCTCTGCTGTTGGGGGTACCCCCAAACTCCTGCTATCTAGTGGGAAGGTGTTAGGTCGAAGGTATTGGAATCCTCAGAAACCCTTCCTGTTTGCTGGCTCTTCCCTCTTTCTCTGGACTCTTCCACTGGATTCTTCCGCTGGCTTCCAGTCCCCTGCTCTGCCTCCTAGAAGTCACTGCTCCAGGCTTCTCAGTTGCCAGTCTTTCCCCCTTCCACGCTGGATGTGCTGCTATTAATAACTGGCAAGTCCCCCCTCCCCTCCTTCCTGCAGCTACAACTGTGGGAAGAGCTATTGTTGGCATGGCTCCATACTGGGAGTCTCTGAGTGATTTGGGGGAAGCTCTTGTGGATGGCAGGCCCCCACCTTGCCCAGTGACTTGGAGCCAAGGAGGGGTGGTCTGGGGAGAGAGCCCTTGGGCTCCAGCAGCCCACTCAGCACAGCCTCTCCTCCCGGTGTACGCACACCTTGTTGGCTGCAGCCGCCCCCCTGCTCACCCTTCGGTGGCCTCTGATCACTGGGCCAAGCTCCTGGGCATCTGGCAAAGCATCTACAAACTTTCTCCTCTCAACCCGGCTCCTCCCTCCCTCTGGCTCTCCCTCCCTCCCACAGCTCCGTTGCTGCACTGCCTCCTCCTCCCTCCCTAAATCTGCAGCGTGACTGGAAATAGGCTGAATTAATCAGCAGACTGAAGCTTCACTCTGCACGGATCCTCTGCGGCACAGGCTCCGGCTCCTCGCTCCCACGCTCCCCAGCCCACTCCCCTCTTTTTCTCTCCTCTCACCCTTTCTCTCTCCCTCTGTTCCTGCCTCTACTCCTCTCTCCTTGAGGGTGGTGTTGGAAGTTCTGTAGTTGACTCCTTGTGGCTCAGGCTCTACCACATGCTCTTTAAGCAGACAGAGCTATGGATGCCCCTTCAGGGCAAATGCACCAAAGTGAGTATGCTAACTTGGTTTTATATTTCTGTTGCAAACGCCTTGTTCTCTGCTTTGTGTGCAAGGCTTTTGTGGCATAGTAATTGCCACAAGTCTTGAAAATGGGTGCTGCACCGGAGGCAGCTCAGATTATGAGGTAGCTAGGATTGAAGAAGGCTAAGAATGGGAATCCCAATGCCCGTGTGTCTAGGGAGCTGCCATCCAGGCTCCCAAGTCACCCACAGCAAGACTGGAGCTGAGCGTCCCAGTGGGGCATCCTGTTGAGTTATGCTGGGACCTGGGGTAACGGGAAGCCCTGGGCCTGGATGTCAACCCTCCTTGGGGCTAGGAAGGGTTTTTGTTTTTGTTTTTTGTTGGACCACATGCGTTGTTGAGCTGGGAGGAACCAGGGCCCGGCTGATTTCTTCCTCAGTCGGGAGGCTGCAAGAAGAAGAAGATGGGTGGAAGTGCCAAGGTCAGCAGGAGGCCGGAAGAGGAAGAAGCTTGAGGCTTTGATTTGCCTGGCTGAAAAAAGACTCAATTTGTGTCTAGCCAAGCTAAGAAGAGATTTATCATGGCTACTAAAAAAGACCCAGCTTCAGTGACTTAGGCATGACGTGGAGTCCAGCTTTGGGTCCCCTCCCCACCTGCACTGGCCAAGAAAGCTGGGATGGTGGGGATCTGGTTCCGGGGCCAGCCAGCTCTGATTAGCTATTGGCTATTATCAGGGCTAGGGGTCATGGGCTAAGTTTGTAACCTATCTACCTGAGCCTATGGGAACAGATTTTGCTCCCCAAGCAGGTGGAGTGGGAAGGTAAACAACTGCTGTGGGGATAGAACCTATGAGGGGTCCTGAAAGGACCGGGGCTGGGGGGCCAGGTGCTTTTGGCTCTGGGCCACCTGGGAAACCTGACCAAAGTGGTGCAGCTTAGGGGTGTTGGCTCTGGAAAGGCACATTAGACTGACCCAGATGCACAGCATCAGGCCCCACAGAGCTGGTCCTGTTCAGTAGTGGATTTTTTGTAGTTCTGATTTGACCGAGTTCTTTCCCTACCCTTCTGCTGTTCTCAATCCCCATGCCCTCCCAGTGTCCCCTTTTTTTTTAAAAAAAAAATTGTTTTAAAGATTTTTATTTATTTATTTGACAGAGAGAGACAGCACAAGCATGGGGAGGAGCAGACAGAGGGAGAGGGAGAAGCAGGCTCCCCACTGAGCAGGGAACCTGACATGGGGCTCGATCCCAGGACCCCAGGATCACAACCTGATCTGAAGGTAGATGTTTAACTGACTGAGCCACTTAGGTGCCCCTAATTAATTTATTTGAGAGAGAGAGAGAGAAAGAGAGAGAGCTGGGGGTGGGAAAGCAGAGAAAGAGGGACAAGCAGACTCCGTGCTGAGCATGGAGCCTGTCTCAGGGCTCAGTCCCATGACCCTTTGATCATGACCTGAGCCGAAATCAAGAGTTGGACTCTTAACTGACTGAGCCACCAGGCACCGCTGCCCCCCCCCCCCCTCAGTGTCCCTCTTTGATGGAGGAGAAGCCCAGCTCATGATGGGCATTTGTGGCCAGCATCTCCTGGGCCTGGGCTTCCTAGCACCTCAAGTTACTTTGCTGGGTTCAGTTGAGCCTTAGCGTTGTTCTACCTGCAAAGCATTGGTGTAAGTGGAGATGCAGGCTCCTGCCTCCCCTCTGCTGTAGAGCTTGCACTTAGCTCTCACTCCTCACCCCAGGAACTTCTTGGGAGGTGTCTGGCAGTGGGATGGGTGGGAGATTTGGACCATCTGGGAAGCATGAAGAATCTCTCACTCCCTCTGGGTACTTAAGGCTGGGGCAGTTTTTTTCTCACCCTTCTTGGCCCTGTAGACAGGAAAAGCAGACCTTCAGATGGCATGTGTAAGAGTTGGGTCCCTCCCAAACCAACCACACGCATCCTTGCACGGTCTCTCCATTGGTGCTCAGCCTAACTTGTGTTTTGAGAAAGGCCAGCAGAGCCCTCTCGCCCATGGTGCTTTCTTCATTTCCTTTGAAAATGCTGAAGTTCCACCAAGTTCCTCATCTTTGGCTCTCACGTTGCAGGGGACCCGGTGGGGGGGGCGGAGCACAACAGGAGAAACCGTGATTTTACCGGTAACTGGTACTCTCCTGCCTGCCTACCTGCCAGAGACAGGGTGAGGTGTGCGTGAGGGGCGGAGGCAGCTGAAGAAGTGTGCCTGGGGCCACGGAGAGCCGGCTGGCCCAGAAGGCTGTGTCCTTGCCCCAGGGCCTGCCTGTATGGGCAGGCATTTTTCTCCAGGAGGCGTGTGATTACAGAGTGGCTATTTTCCCTCTGCTTCGCTGTCTTTAATCGCCAGTCTGGGGTTGGTGTTCCTGGCCAGACACAACATGCGTGGGCAGACGCACTCAGTCAGCTCTGCAGGCCTCTGCTGGCCCGGCCCCAGGAGCATCTGCTACCCTCTGGCCCATACCTCCCACACCTGGAGAGCAGTCGTGTGCAGGTTCTAGCAACCTGGGTGCAGAGAGGAAGAGTAAATCCATTTCTGGGTTGTGGAGAGGGGGGCACCTGGAATGAGGCAGTGGATGTAAGGATGCCGACGAGACGCACAGAAGGGAGTCACTAATGTCCAAAGTCTAAAGGCCTCACTAGAAGGGGGGCATCACCCTGGTTCCCTGGCTGCTCCTTTCAGCCTTTGCCTGTCTTTCGAACATGGTCAGCATCCCAGATGCTGCAGCTTTCCTCGTGACCTGCAGCCCCTGAGATTTATCCGGCCCTCCCTCTCTCCTGCCCAATCTCCGTCTCTTGTCTGTTTGGCCGGCAGCCTTTCCACCTCTACGGGCCAGCCTTTCCCTGCCTCCAGGACGTTTTCTCACTGGAGCATTTCTGGAGGCCTGGCCCAGGCAAATCCATCTCAGGAACCTTCACATCTCCCCCCGTGAAAAGAGGGTTCCCAAAGTGGAGCCTAAGGGAGAAGGGGGCGGTGGGGAGGCACAGTGTGGGAGGCCCCGTGTGCAGTGGCTATGTCTTGCAAATCCTTTTCTTCCCTAGGTTGGGTGGAACAGGTGTCACCCCCCAGGCCAGCCCCTGAGACTTGAGAAGGCCTCTTCTCCTTTCTTCCAACCCTCATGCAGGAGACTTTTTTTCCTTCCATGTGAGGAATCAGGGAGGCAGATGTGCAGATCTTAGCCTTCCCTGACACTCATCTGTCCTGGGCCATGGCTTCTCAGGAAGGCCCCAGGGTTTCTGCCAGAGGGAGGTAGATGCTCTGGAGTAGAGTATTTAACCATGCTGGGGTATAGGTCCTTAACTCAGAGGGCCATATCTTCTTGAGCTGAAATAACCAGTTATCCCCTCTGGGAAGAAGCAGCTCTTATCTTCATAATCCCCCAAAGCCAGCATGGAGAGCAGGGATTAGGGGAGATTTAGGCATTGGATCTGGGAAATCTTGGGGCCAGGCTCACCCTGGAGCCCTTCCTCATCCTTCAGGCCGAGATAGCTGGCAATGAGCCAGTGTGGGGGCTCCACTCAGGTGCATCCTACTGGGGGAGGGGGGGAATCTACAGTCAGGGGATACTGTCCCTGTCCCTTCTAGTTGTAGAGATATGTGTCCTGTGAGGGGCAAGGTTGCCAAGGAGGGTGGTGGATATGCAGACAGGCATGGAGAAGGAAATCTGGAATGTCAGTAGGCAAAGCCAGGGCAGGCCCCAGGGAAAGTATAGGGAGTGTAGGGGAGGGCAATGAGCTGGAGTAGCCAGGGCGCCACCAGCTCAGCCACACTTGGTCAGGACTCAGTAGATACCCCAGCCCCTTTCTTGGGGCCCCAAGTCTAAGGCTTTGCTCCTCTTGCTCAGGAATCTTTTCTGGTGGGAGCTCGCCTCAGAGCTCTTGGGATGGCCCAGCTTGCCAGCACTCTTTTCCCAGGGGGCGGTGGTGGGGGGTGGGCATGGGGGATGTTCTTTTTGCCAGGACCCCCAACCTAGGGATCTGTGTATCAGATTCAGTGTGTGCATCGGCCTCACCTACAGAAGTCTTGATTCGGTCAGTTTGGGGTGAGACCTGGACCTTTGGGAGCTCCAGGTGTTTCTGTTATAGATCCCAGGTTGACAGCTCCTGATTAACATGTCACTGGGACCACGGAAGATATGTGCGTGCTCATTCTTTCATTCCTTCAGCCGGTGGTTGTGGGGCCACTGCTGTGTGCCAGGCACTGTCTCAGCAGCTGGTCGGAGGGATGTGGAGATAGAAGAATTCAGTACCTGTTTTCAAGGAACTGGCAGTCTGGTGGGAGAGCCAGACAAGTAAATCTATAATGACGGTTCTCCACAATGCAGACTGGGAGCCAGGTTGCCCAGGGTGCTCTTGAAATACAAACCTCTCCCTGTAAGTGCAGCCCTTGGTTTTGGGAAAATTTCCCAGAGCGGATGACGTTTGAGCTGAGGCTTGAAGGGTAATAAGTAAGAGGTGTCTGGGGCCGGGAGCATGTTCCTGGGCAGGAAAACACATAGAGGTCCTTGCACATGAGCTAGAAGAGCACGGCTTGCAGCAGGAATGGAGGAAATGCAGGCGAGGAGGCTGGAGAAGCTGGCGGATCACAGGCCCTGCTCTGGAGTCTGGGCTCGATTGGAAAGATAAGCAGGGGTCAGTTGATGTGACATGCACGCTGCTCTGGCTGGATGTTGCAGTTGGTTTGGAAGAGGTAGAGACTGAGGAGTGGGAGGGGGAGGTGATCACCGCAGGAGCCACGATGTCCAGCCGGGAGGGCCACATTCCAGGGTTTTGGATGAATCCACTCCTGGGGGCCTATGAAACCACAAGGCAGCCATTGAGTAAACAGGTCAGAATTCAGGGCAGTGGTCAGGCCTGGAGGTAAACTTCAGGAGTTGTAAGCTTGGTGGCGGCGGGTGACTCCACGGTGGTGGCTGAGGTTGTCTTGGAAGATGTCCGAGGGATAGTCTGTAGGGTAGAGGGAAAAGAAGAGCCAGTCAGAAGAAGACAGAGGTAAAGCCCAGGAGTGGGGCTGCCAGTAAGGAGAGGCCAGGGTCCGCTCGCACAGGACAGTGTGGGTGGTCCCCAGCGCTGCCCAGGACCACCCAATCCATGCCCTGTTCCACCACCCCTGGTGACCAGAGAGTACAGTGTCACAGGTGCCTTCCTGGGAGCACCTATCCCTTGTCTTAGATATTGTGTCCTTCCTGATGCTGGAGTGTCACAATGTGCTCCCTTCTGTGAAATGGTGGAAGCAGTATTTGGTAGTTTTTTTTTTTTTTTTTTTAAGATTTTATTTATTTATTCATGAGAGACACAGAGAGGCAGAGACATAGGCAGAGGGAGAAGCAGGCTTCCTGCGGGGAGCCCAATGCGGGACTTAATCCCAGGACTCCGGGATCATGCCCTGAGCCAAAGGCAGACACTTAAACCACTGAGCCATCCAGGTGCCTCTGGTGGTTTTTTCCTTAATGTTTTTACATAGCAATAATGAAGAACTATTGTCTCCTTGTTAGTTCTCCTTTCCTCACTTTAAAAAAATAAAAAGCAAAAAAAAAGCCCCACTATTTTTTGGCCCGTGAAATGCACTGATGGCAGCAGAGGTAGATGGAGAGGTGAGGGGGCAAGAGTAGTGCATGGGACCAGGAGATGCTGTGGCCTTGGAAGGTGGGTTCGGAAACACTGAGTAGAGAAGGTTGTGTGTCTGTTTCTGTTTTAAGCTTGGCCTTGAGGAGTAGGGGACTTTTAACACATTGGAGATTTAAGCAAATGCCCCGAGGGTTGAGGTTGGGGCTGGTGGAGGAAGAGGAGGGGAGGTTTCATGGGGTGGGATGACAAGGTCATGACCTGGCCTGCAACAGAGGGCCTCTCTGTGCAGTGACCTGGGGCCTCCAGGGCGATGCTGAGTGCCCCCTGCTTCCCCCCAGGGCGAGCCACCCTTGGCCCTGGGCCTGTCTACCTGGAAGGCCCTCAGCATCCTGAAGGAGCAGCTGGAGGCGGTGCTGGAGGGACACCTGAAGGAGCGGAAGAAATGTCTCACATGGAAGGTGAAGCTTCTTCCCCGGGAAGCCAGAGCCAGGGTGGGATGGGCAGACAGACGTGGGAGGCCCAAGCGCGGCCCGGAAGCTGTGCTCATGCTGTGTGGTGTGACCCCAGTGAAGCTTCCCTATAAAAATCAGAAGGAAGCTGGGCTGCCTGGGGAGTGATGTCCTGGCCCCACTTGCTGCAGGAGCCCAAGCGGCTGGACCCCAGCTGAGAGCAAAGCGAGAAGACAGAGGCAGCCCTGGGCCAGGCCAGGCGGGTGTGGGAGGAAGGCAGCCAGATTCCAGCAGGATGCTGCCTCCCAGCTCCTTCCACGGGCCCCTCACTCCCCACTGCCCCTCCACAGGAGCTGTGGAGAAGCAGCTTCCTGCACCACAGTAACCGCTGCTCCTGCTTCCACTGGCCTGGAGCCTCACTCATGCTGCTGGCTGTGCTGCTGCTGCTCGGCTGTCATGGGAGCCAGCCAGCGGGCAGGTAACCTTCCTCCCGCCTCTCATCCTGGGGGTGCTGGTCCACCCCTCCTGCCTCAGCCTCCTGCCTGGGAACACCCCACGGGGACTGACCCCCCTCCACACACACATAGTCACAGTGGGTTCCTGAATGGTGAGGGGTTCTCAGTTCCCTGCTGGCTGCCATCAGCACCCAAGCAAGACACTCTTTTCAAAAGGGACTGGGGTGGGGTGCCTCGGGTCAGCTGGGTCGGGGAGCCCCTCTCCCTGCTACTACCCCCTCACCTCTTTCCACCAGCCGTGGGGTGGAGCTGGTGAATGCCTCAGCACTGTTCCTCTTGCTGCTTCTCAACCTCCTCCTCATTGGGCGGCAAGATCGGCTGAAGCGTAAGGAGGTAGAGCGGAGGCTCCGAGGGATCATTGACCAAATCCAAGGTGAGGCCAAGGGCCAGGCATGGTGGGTGGGAAAAGGTACCCTATGATGTGTCAGCCCTACAAGCTCTCCTCCTGAGTCCCAGCCTGGAGCCCAGCACAATGGCGGTGCCAATGGTCAGTGTTCTGGGGGCTCTTGGCACCAAGAGCATTAGGAGGCTGCCCTGCCCTCTTTTGAGCAAGGACAGTGAGAGCAGGGACAGCTAGGCCTATGAAGCCAGTGGCCCGAGTGTGGCATGCAGGGTGGCTGACGGAGGCCTGGTCAGCTTGCAGGCTCACTAATGATGGGAGGCTAACAGAGAAGACCCTCTCTCGGCAGGAGGACAGTTGAGATTTTCTCTTCCAAGGCTGTCCTGTCTGGTGGTGTGGGGCCAGCAAGTAGGAAGATGGCCCAGAGAAGTCTAAAACCCACAAGAGTCAGGGTTGGGTGCCCGGAACCGGGAGCCCCAACGGAGCAGCTGTGTTCCTGAAGAAGGGAGTTGCTCAGATTTCTGCTTGTCCTTTGGTTCAGGTGGTGGTTATTAAGCCCCAGCTATGGATTGGGAAAAATAGGCTCTTCTGAGAGATGATGGCTCCTGCTTTCCAAGGGCCTGTGGTCTCATAAGAGAAATACTCAGTGTCTGAGACCTTTCTCTAACCCGACCGGGCAGCTAGGGTGAGAAGGGGTTGCTTCATTCTGAAATGATCAGTTAGTTGTAGCCACGTGCCAGGCACGGGAAAGTATAACAGTGACCAAGAAAGATGGGCCCTGCTTTCCGAGAGCCTAGTCTCTTGCTCAGTAACCATCAATGGCTTCCTCTTGCTCATCAAAGCAGCCCAGAACCTCTGAGTCAGCCTCTAGCCTCCCTCTCCAGATTGTTCTCTTGCCATCATCCTCACCCCAAAACTCCTCCCTGGTGCTAAAACCACTGCACAGACTTCCCTGCTTCTGTGCCTTTGCCCTGCTGTCCCCATCTGGCGTGCTTCTCCCTCCCTCAGCTCCAGCTGACGGATCCTGCCCATCCTTCAAGACCCATCCTAAGTGCTCCCTTTCCCCTCGAAGCCGCCTCTGATCGCATCAGCTATCTCCTGCAGCTCCGGGCTCTTTCCTAACGCTCTGAGCATGTGTTTGCCTTGATGTGTATTATCTGCCCACATACATCTCTCTTTTCGGTTGCGGCTCCTCGAGGGCAGGGGTTGTATCATCTTTACCTTTGACCTTTGCACCCCCTCAAAGCCCTCAGCAGCGCTTGTGAAATGTGTTTGAATGGAATGAGGGTACAAAGAATATGAGCTTCAGGTGTTCAGAGGAGGTAGCGGTGCCTGGGCTGGCCCAGTGGGGAAGGCTTCACGGGGAGGTGACCTTGAGAGAGGGGTGGTGTTGGGATGAATGGTGCGGGTTGCTGCAAGCCTTCTGGGGAAGGAAGGAAAGCACACAGAGCTTCATGGTGTGTGCTGCATGGCTGATGTGTGGAGCTGTGGGTGAGATGGTTTCCTTTTTTCCCTTCTCAGATGCACTCAGGGATGGCAAGGAGATCAAGTGGCCCGATGCCATGTACCCAGACCTCCACATGCCCTTTGCACCATCCTGGTCTCTGCACTGGGCCTACAGAGATGGACATCTGGTCAACCTGCCAGTTAGCCTGTTAGTAGAAGGAGACATCATAGCCCTGAGGCCTGGCCAGGAATCATTTGCCTCTCTGAGGGGGATCAAGGTAGCTCGAGGCTTTTCTCCTTCCCTGAAAATTCTGTGGGAGCATCTACAAGCAATGGGGGGAGGGTCCCAGGGCTAAATCCTGAAGCTTCCTGGCCAGCACACAGGCTCCTTGGCAAGAGCTCTGGAAGGATGGAGAAGATCTGGAATGTCTTTCTCCTTGTCCTGTTCTTTCTTTTCTCTGACCTTTAAGCTGCTAGGAATCTAGTTCCACAGCAACCCCCTCCCACCCCGCGCCCCACCAGCTGACTCTGTGCTAACTGATGGTCTCAAACCCAATGAGATGTCCCCACTTGGCTGGAATTGATAAGAGAGAGTGGCTTCCGATTGAACCTGTTCATTGCCCTCACCCTTCTCCCTTACTCTCTGGTAGGATGATGAACACATCGTCTTAGAGCCGGGAGACCTGTTTCCTCCTTTTTCTCCACCTCCTTCCCCCCGGGGAGAAGTAAAGAAAGGGCCGCAGAACCCCCAGCAGCACCGGTTGTTCCGCGTCCTCGAGACCCCAGTGATTGACAATATCAGGTAGTGTCGCTGCCCTGCCTTCCTTCTGGCCCCTGGGTGCTCTTCCCGAGTGCCTCCATGAGCTGAGGGCAGGGTGACAAGGAGAGAGCCTGGTTTCTACTGAGGCCCCTTTAGGGTAGGCACCTCTGTGGGTTCTTCATTTTAGCATCTCATGAAAATTACTAGACTGGGTGATTGTTCCTCTCCCTGTGGGAACTCTGAGGGGACAGCTCAGGAGGCTGCTCCAGACCCCTCTCTCAGGGGCCACTTGCTGGGGCCCGGGAATAGGAGAGATTGCCTGACTCAGCGATGCCCAGTGCACGTGCGTGTTTCTGGCCTCCCCCGCTAAGAGCTTGCCCAACTAAAGGGTCACCCTTTTCTGCAGATGGTGCCTGGACATGGCCCTGTCCCGCCCAGTCACTGCCCTGGACAACGAGAGGTTCACGGTGCAGTCGGTGATGTTGCACTACGCCGTGCCTGTGGTCCTGGTGCGTGAGGCGGGCCTCGCGGGCAGGGGAGAGGGCCAGGAAATGGGGGAGCCTCAGGGCCAGATTCAGGTGAGCGTGTGAGGGAAGATGGGGGTGGTCCAGAGTGAGATGCCAGTGCTGGGGTTGGGGGGTGGGTGTGAGTGGGCAGAGGAAAGGGAGCCTTAGAGCCTAGGTCCTTCTCTGGGTGGGGAGCTAATAGGGCTGCACTTCTGCTGTTCCCAAAAGGCTGGCTTCCTTATCACCAATGCCCTGCGCTTCATGCTGAATGCCCCTGGCATCACATCCTGGCAGTACACCCTCCTCCAGCTACAGGTAACCTCCACCCTTCCCCCTCTGCTGTGCTTTGCTCTTTCCTTGGAGGCTGGGTCCCCTCATGATGCCCTGGCTGTCCCTCCCTGTCTGTAGCCCAGGGGTCCCTCCAGCTCCAGCTTAGGAATACCTGCTTCCCTTCTCTTCCCATTCTGGAAAGTTGTCCCATTCTATTAAGGGGATGGCTTTAGGACTGGGGAAGCCCTTCTGTCCCTCCCTCTTCCCAGGCCAGCAGCTCTTTGGGTGCCTTCAGTGTGGTTCGTGCTTTCTCAGGTGAATGGCGTCCTGCCCATCCTTCCCCTGCTCTTTCCAGTCCTCTGGGTTCTGGCAACCGCCTGTGGAGAAGCTCGAGTCCTGGCCCAGATGAGCAAGGCCTCTCCCAGCTCCCTGGTAGGTTCTTCCAAGGCATCTTGGGGACAGTACAAAAAGAACAAAAATCAGGAGCAAAAAGGTGTTGGCTGTGCCCCAGTGAACAGGTACAGAGGTCCAGCCCCACTCTGGGCCCAGTACACGAGCAAGCCCTGGGCAACTCTCTATGCGGAAGGGCCCCCAGGCCAGGCCCTGGGAGGCAGGCAAGCATCCATCCTGGCATTCAGATGCGGGGGCTCGGGGACTGCCCAGGTGTCCTTAAACCAAAGGCGTCAGGAGCCTTGCGGGGGTGGGGCACTCACCCTTGCATCTTGGAGGCCTATGTGAGGGTGCCTCCCTGAGCTGGCACCCTCTTCTCTGCACAGCTGGCCAAGTTCTCAGAGGATACTCTCAGCAGCTATACAGAAGCCGTCTCCTCTCAGGTACACTCACCTGGGACACCATCTGCCCCAGGCCTCCAGAGCCACCAGCCTGAGCTCTCTCAAGCTGGCTGCCCCTTCTGGAACCCTGGGACTCCTCCCCTACCCCATGGCCTTGGAGCCTCCTGTCTCATGTGGGCAATGTGCTCTGCCCAGACAAATGCCTCTCCACCCCAACTTCCTGGTGTCCCCGGACAGTTTCCTCTGGCGGCCCCAGAGGCTATCTCTAGGGAAATAACATGGACTTTGTCTCTCCCACCAGGAAATGCTACGATGCATTTGGGGCCACTTCCTGCGGGTGATCCAAGGGACATCACCGACTCTGAGCCATAGCTCCAGCCTGCTGCACAGCTTGGGCTCCGTCACGGTGAGGGGGGCCCTGAGGGAGGACCCCCGCCTCAGCTGGCCTGCTGCCTGGCTGTGTCCGGGTGCCTGTCTGCCGCTGGAGTGGACCCTGAAGGGTTGGAGGATGCCAAGCCCTCTTTCCGATCCCCATCTCTCCCTCCAGGTCCTGTGCTGTGTGGACAAACAGGGGATCCTGTCATGGCCCAACCCCAGCCCAGAGACTGTGCTGTTCTTTAGTGGGAAAGTGGAGCCCCCACACAGCAGCCATGAGGACCTAACAGATGACCTGTCCACCCGCTCCTTCTGCCATCCCGAGGTAGAGGAGGAGGTACGGCCGGCTCCCGGGGACCCAGCTCTGGGTCCGGCCAGTGGCCTCAGGGAGGGCAAGGCTGGGAGGGAGAAGGAAGGCTCAGGCACCGTTAGGATCTGCTTCTGGGCAGTTCAGGCAGAGCCACCACAGCAGGCAGGGAGAGGGCATACCTGCCCCGTCTCCCCGGTCCATGGCAGCCAGCGGGACCCTGGTCCGAGGCCTGTGTTCCTTGTTCTTCTCAGCCCCACGAACGAGATGCCCTCCTGGCCGGTTCCCTGAACACTACCCTGCACCTTTCCAATGAGCAGGAACGTGGCGACTGGCCTGGTGATGGTCCCAAGCCCCCTGAATTCTACTCTCACCACAAAGCACACGGCCGCAACAAACACCCATCTGGCTCCAACGTGAGCTTCAGCAGGGACACAGAGGGCGGTGAAGAAGAGCCTGGCAAGGTGAGAGGAAAGGGGAGAGCAGCCACAGGGTGTCCTGGCCTCCCCGCCGCAGGGGCCAAGGGGTGCAGCCCATCCTGAGATGTCGTGGCCTCCATGCTCAGGCCTCCAGGCTTGGCCTCCTGAGGCCTCATCCAGGGCCTGGGGCCCTTCCAGAAGTAGGCCCTTTCTCCCTTTCTGGGTCTTACAGGTGGTAACTGGTTGGGGCAAGGCCCTTCCTTCTCGTCATAACGTAAATACAGAAAGCTGGTGGCTCCCTCTAAAATACACTCCCAACCCCGTCTGAAAGAGATCTTTTGTTGTTCCCTCCTTGCTCTGGGCATCCTTTTCTTAGGTACCACCATTGCTGGGCATCGATCCTAGGAGAAGCCAAAGTCCAGCAAGGACAGGGAGAGGATTTTGGGGAGGGATGAGGAGAGCGTGGGCATGAGCATGCTGCTCACTGGGAAGGGGGTGCCTTCTCCCGGGGCCACCCCGGAACCCTCCCAGTCTGAGGCTCCCCTCCCCATCTGCCACATTTTCCTGACACTCAGCCCGGGCTGGAGGGCGAGCCCTATGAAGCAGAAGACTTTGTGTGTGACTACCACTTGGAGATGCTGAGCCTGTCACAGGACCAGCAGAACCCCTCCTGCATCCAGTTCGATGACTCCAACTGGCAGCTCCACCTCACCTCCCTGAAGCCCCTGGGTCTCAACGTGCTACTGAATCTGTGTAACGCCAGCGTCACTGAGCGTCTGTGCCGGTTCTCGGACCATCTGTGCAACATCGCCCTACAGGAGAGCCACAGCGCCGTCCTGCCCGTGCATGTGCCCTGGGGCCTCTGCGAGCTCGCCCGACTCATAGGTACGCTGGCAGGGTGGGTGGCCATGCTGTGCCCGCCACTGACCCCAAGCAGGCTGGTGCCCGTGAAGTGCACTGTCAGCCCTTTCAGCTTCTGACCACCCCCTTTAACTGGGCGCTGTTCCACAGTGCTTCCTAGTCTGGGGACATAGCCAATGGTGGGATGAATAGGGGGAGGGAACCAGCCCAGCCTGACTGGGGTTGTCTGTCCCTGCAAGAGAGGGAGGTCCAGGTGCTGTGCGCTTCCCCCCAGACACTCCAAGTTGGCATCCCTCCCCCTGCAGGCTTCACCCCCGGGGCCAAGGAGCTCTTCAAGCAGGAGAATCACCTTGCACTCTACCGCCTCCCCAGTGCTGAGATGGTGAAGGAGACCTCACTGGGGAGGCTCTCCTGTGTCACCAAGCGGCGTCCCCCCCTCAGCCATATGATTAGTCTCTTCATCAAGGACACCACCACGAGTGAGCCTTCCGCACTTGGCCAGCATTAGGCCAGACTTTCCTGGAGCTTGGCAGGGCGGGGCTGCTTTTAGGTGTCCCTTTTTAGGGGGGCCTGGGCAGATGAGCCCTAGACTGCTTCCTAGTCTTCCTCAGATGTGGCAGGGATTGGATTTGGGGACTGGTGCTGGGATGGTGGTGGCCACAGGGGTTGGGGACCGTCTGAAGGGTGGCAAGCCCACATAGACCTGGGGCATTCTATTCCCCAGGGGCTCCCTGGCACCCTTCTTGAGGACAGCAGGGTGGTAGCTGAGGCGGGAGTGAGAGGCAGCAGTGGCAGGCACTAACATTCGGCCTTGTCCTCCCCCTCCCCACCCCAGGCACAGAACAGATGCTGTCTCATGGCACAGCCGACGTGGTCTTAGAGGCCTGTACAGACTTCTGGGATGGGGCGGACATCTATCCGCTTTCCGGTTCTGACAGGTGGGTGAGGAAGCAAGCACCCCTCGTGCTGGTGGCACACGGCCCTGGCCGTCTGCCTGCCTGGCTCACAGGCCTAGGGGCATCTCAGAGCCACTCGCCTCACTTCTTCCCTGCTTCTCTGGTAGAAAGAAAGTGCTGGATTTTTATCAGCGAGCCTGCCTGTCTGGTTACTGCTCTGCCTTCGCCTATAAGCCCATGAGCTGTGCCCTGTCCTCTCAGCTCAATGGCAAGTGCATCGAGCTGGTGCAGGCGCCTGGCCAGAGCAGCATCTTCACCATGTGTGAGCTGCCCAGCACCATCCCCCTCAAGCTGAGCACGCGCCGCAACAGCTGGAGCTCTGACGGTATTGTGCACGCCTGTCCCGTTGGGGGCCCTACAGGGGAGGGCTTCTGGAGGGCCACAGAATCTGTCATAGTAGAAGGAACGGTGGGCATAGCACTGGCCCTGGAGCGTCAAGATGGCACCTTGCAACGTGGACAAGTCCCTTAGCTTTCTCATGGGTAACTAGGTGTCTGCTCTGCCCTTCTCACCGGTTTCTCATGACCCTCCGGTGGGATAGCAAAGAGCTATCTCTGAAAGTTATAAAGCAGCTGTATTTATAGAACATTAGCCTTATTTGATCAGATAAAAGGCCTGGTTACAAACCTGCTGGGACAGAGGGACTCAGAACCACCCCACCCCTCCCCATTCCACCCCTCACCATTCCACCCCTCCCCATTCCACCCAACAGACAGACTCACAGGGTCTTATGGCCCAAAAGACCATGAATTGAGGCCATTGCTGAGAGTGAGGGCAGCCCTCTAGCCCTGGACCAGGGCTGGGCTCTATTGTTACTTCTTAGCATCATCACCTGACTGATGAGTACCTTTCATTGTCTTTTCTCCTGTGTCTGTTGGTTCCTTTGTGCGTCTTGGCTGTGTGTTTGTGCGCGCGTGGCTGTGTGTGGTCCCCCGGGGCCCACATGCTCATTGACTTGGGTGTGGCATCTGTGTGTGTGGCCTGGGCTGCCTCCTGGAATCTGCTGGTTCCTGGGTGTCCCGGCCGGGCTTTGTGCCTCATGCCTACCTGAAGAAGGGATCGGGGAGGTGCTGGAGAAGGAAGACTGCATGCAGGCCCTGAGTGGCCAGATCTTCATGGGCATGGTGTCCTCTCAGTACCAGGCCCGGCTGGACATTGTGCGCCTCATCGACGGGCTGGTCAATGCCTGCATCCGCTTTGTCTACTTCTCTTTGGAGGACGAGCTCAAAAGCAAGGTGGGGAGAGACGTCCCCCTCTGCCTCCACCAACCCTTTCGCCCATGAGTGCATGGGACCATCTGTTCGTTGCCATCTGCCTTTTGCAGGTGTTTGCAGAAAAGATGGGCCTGGAGACAGGCTGGAACTGTCACATCTCCCTCACGCCCAATGGTGACATGCCTGGCTCTGAGATCCCCCCTTCCAGCCCTAGCCATGCCGGCTCCTTGCATGATGACCTGAATCAGGGTAATGGCACAGGTTTGCGGTGGGGTCAAGGGGGTTGTGGATGGCTCCCCTTCCTTAGAGGTATAGCTAGAAAGAGCCTCCATTGATCCCTCCTAATAAGTACATTCCCTTGAAAAATGGCTCTGGTCTCCCTGTGGTAACAACAGTTGACAGTGGAGGAGAGGAGACCCGGAAGCAGAAGGTTCTTTGCTTTCTTCCGGGCAAGGAACAGCCCTTAGAAGGCTGACTCCAGGGACACCTGGGTGGCTCAGTGATTGAGCATCTGACTTCAGCTCAGGGCATGATCCCAGGGTCCTGGGATTGAGTCCCACATCGGGCTCCCCATAGGGAGCCTGCTTCTCCCTCTGCCTGTGTCTCTGCCTCTTTCTCTGTGTCTCTCATGAATAAATAAATATTAAAAAAACAACAACAACAACAAAAAAAAGAAGGCTGACTCCAAGGTGAAGGACAGGGTTTCATCCCCACAGTGTCCCGAGATGATGCGGAAGGACTCCTCTTAATGGAGGAGGAGGGTCACTCAGACCTCATTAGCTTCCAGCCTACGGACAGCGACCTCCCCAGCTTCCTGGAGGACTGCAACCGGGTATGATGGCACGGTCTGCACCCCTTTGTCTCCCGAAGTAGTCCAATGACTGGTCCAGAGAAGGGGGGCAGGGACCACCTCCCCAGCCTGAGGCTACTGACATCTGTGCTTCCTCCAGGCCAAGCTGCCGCGTGGCATCCACCAGGTGCGCCCCCACCTACAGAACATTGACAACGTGCCCCTGCTAGTACCCCTGTTCACCGACTGTACCCCTGAGAGTGAGTACTGTGGCCATGGCGATCGAGGAGACCCGGGCACCTGGCGGGCTCCGCAGGAGATGATGTACCATGCTGGGAGCAGAACAAACCTGAGCTGGGATGAGCCAGGGAACATAGGGGGCGGGAACTGTGGGTGCCCCATTCTAGGGCTCAGAAGTGACTGTCAGTCACTTGACATTCATATTCTGGGATGAGGGGAGGACTGTCCCAAAAAGGGGCTCCCTTCCCCTGTCTCCTGTTCTATTGTCCTGTGGGTCTCTGCTCGGAGCCTCACACAGGGCTCCACCTGCCTGACTCTTGTGCCCCCCGACTCTGCCCCCTCAGCCATGTGTGAGATGATCAAGATCATGCAGGAATATGGGGAGGTGACCTGCTGCCTGGGCAGCTCTGCCAACCTGAGGAACAGTTGCCTTTTCCTCCAGAGTGACATCAGGTCAGGGTGATGTCCCAGATTGGGGCTTGCATGAGGCTGGGGCATATTTCATGGCTGATCATGCTATGGCTGGGAATGAGGGGCCTGGGCACGATGAGAGGAGAGGCGACAGGTGCTTGCCTAGTCCCACGGGAGGTGGGGTCTTCACAGAGTGTAGCTCATGGGTGTGCTTTCCCCTTGCACTGAGCAGCATTGCCCTGGATCCTCTGTACCCATCCCGCTGCTCCTGGGAGACCTTTGGCTACGCCACCAGCACCAGCATGGCCCAGGCCTCGGATGGCCTTTCTCCCCTCCAGCTCTCAGGGCAGCTCAACAGCCTGCCCTGCTCCCTGACCTTTCGCCAGGAGGAGACCATAAGCATCATCCGGCTCATTGAGCAGGTAGGGGCTCAAGCAGGTGGAGGGGGCAGGGATGGGGAGCCTGCAGAGTGGGGAATGGTGACACGGGATCCATCTGGGCCCCCAAGGGCTGACTGCCCTCCAAGAGAGGCTTTCCCAGGCAGTTTTATTTGCCCCCACCCTTTCCTAGCAGGAGCATCTGGGGCATCTGGCTCTGGGCTGAGATTTGTCGGCTGTAGGCCCGGCCACAATCTGTCCCTCCTGGTCCCTAGGCTCGGCACGCCACCTACGGCATTCGCAAGTGCTTCCTCTTCCTGCTGCAGTGCCAGCTGACTCTCGTGGTCATCCAGGTGAGGTGGGGTCTGCACAGGCATTGCCCATCCCTCCCTGCTTCTCCACTCAAGGGCTGGCTGAAAGTCCGAGGTGGCAGGCTGGGAGATGCAGCACAGCCTAGAGGGCCCCTAGCCTCTGGAACCCCTGGACTTGAGGAGATGACCCCATTGGCAGAAGTGGCCCCTGCGGCCCTGGCTCCTCTGGCCATCTGGGCATAGGGCAAGTTTGCCAGAATCTAATCCTGCTTCCTGGGCTTTCCTGGTCTAGTTCCTCTCTTGCCTGGTTCAGCTGCCACCACTGCTGAGCACCACCGACATCCTGTGGCTGTCCTGCTTTTGCTACCCTCTGCTCAGGTGAGGGTCATGCTGCCCATCCATATCCAGGCAGGCAGGGCTGGGATGTCCCCGAGCAGCCTCAGGAGCCTAGGTTCCACTCAGTGCTCATGTCCCCTGGCACAGGAGGCCCTGGGGCTGGGTGGGGGCGCTCTCCCTTGTCTTGTCACATCTCCCCTCAGACCTGTCCTCATTCCTAAAATTCCCCAAAGGCTTCTTCCCAAGTGGGAATCGGGGGACAGAGGGTCACAGCCACCACCCTTCACCAAGTCCCTCCTTTTCAGCATCTCTCTGTTGGGGAAGCCGCCCCACAGTTCCATCATGTCTATGGCCACAGGAAAGAACCTTCAGTCCATTCCTAAGAAGGTAAGCAACGGGGAGTCCTGTGAGCCTGGGCTTTTCCTGAGGACTGTGGGTGTGGAGGGGGCCGAGCCTTCGGGGAGAGAGAGGCTTCCATCAGAACTCCCCTGAACCAAAAGGGAGGTGGTGGTACAGAGCTGAGAAGGATCCTCTTGCCCTGGGTCTGCCCGTTTCCTGAAGAGGCTGCTGAGCCTGGTGCCAGAGGGGCTGCCGCCATGGGAGTGACAGGCCTCCCTTCTTTCTGCAGACCCAGCACTACTTCCTCCTTTGCTTCTTGCTCAAATTCAGCCTCACCATCAGCTCGTGCCTCATCTGCTTTGGCTTCACGCTGCAGAGCTTCTGTGACAGCTCCCGAGCCCGCAACCTCACCAACTGCTCCTCCATCATGCTGCCCAGGTGGGTCCTGACCCTACCCCTCCACCTACACCTCTGCCTGCCCACTTTCCTGGGGCCCAGGGGGCGCTGAGTCCACCCCTTGCTTTGGCAGCCATGCTGACACAGCTCCGGCCTGGTTTGATGATTTTGCCAATGGGCTGCTGACGGCTCAGAAGCTCACGGCCGCCCTGATCGTCCTGCACACAGGTGAGGGGCCCCCAGGGAGGGGCCAGCGGTGGCTGGTGGGGTGCCCTGTGGGCAGGGCCTCCGGTGGTGGCAGGACATCTGATGCCCCCCACTGACCCTGTTTTCTCCAGTCTTCATTTCTATCACCCATGTGCATCGCACCAAGCCCCTGTGGAGAAAGAGCCCCTTGACAAACCTCTGGTGGGCCGTGACGGTGCCTGTGGTGTGAGTATCTGTGGACGGGGCGGGGGCAGGGGCGGGGGCTTTGGCAGGACTGTGCTTCGAAGTCCTGCTTCCAGGAGTTAAGCCAGAGGTGGAGTGCTGCCTTCCTTTAGCTGCTCGAACTGAGAAAAGCAGGGAAGGAAGCAAGAAGACCCAGGCTCATGTGGGCCGCCACCTCTCCCTGCAGCCTCCTGGGGCAGGTGGTCCAGACAGCAGTGGACTTGCAGCTGTGGACGCACAGGGACAGCCAAGTCCACTTTGGCCTGGAGGACGTGCCTCTGCTGACATGGCTCCTGGGCTGCCTCTCCTTGGTCCTTGTGGTGGTCACTAATGAGATCGTGAAGCTGCATGAGATTCGGTGAGCCACGGCCGGACCTCCCTCTGGGGTCGGGCGCATTCTTGAGGCCTGTAGCATCCTGGGCATTGTTCTCCCACTTGGCCGCGGCCTGTACTTCCCTCCATCCCTGGGGTCCTGCCCTGTGCTCTAACCTGTGCTTTTCATTTCCTGCCCCACCAGGGTCCGGGTTCGCTACCAGAAGCGGCAGAAACTGCAGTTTGAAACTAAGCTGGGCATGAACTCCCCCTTCTGAGCCACTGGCCACTGTGGTCATATTTGCCCTGGCCCCAGGGCCACAGGCAGACCAGTTTCTGAGTCTGGGGAGTTGGTATCATGAATATTTCTGGGTGTCCTCTTACGCCCCATGGCATTGGAGGCCGGGCTCCACGTCAGACCCAGCTGTTGTCCTTACCGCCAGGGCTTTCCCATGGAGGAGTTGGTGAGCCATGGCCTCAGCATCAGGACAGTGTGGTCTTGAATGTATGACCCAATGCACTTAGTATAGGGGACCTTAGCCTCCTCCACCTGCAGGCTGTCCTCCTTTAGGGTCTCTTAACCCAGGGCCCTCTGTTGTAGGGTCTCCAAGCAGAGCCAAGAACCATGGGGCCCGGGCCTCAGTGGCAGCCACCGTGGTGGGTCCAGACAGACCACTGTTGACGACAGCAGTGGTAGTGCACCCTCCCTGCGCCCCACCTGTCCTCCTGGGAGAGGGGCCTGGAGGTGGTCAAGTACTTCCCTCCCTTCCTCTGTGGGGGAGCCTCACGCTCAGATCTGAAGATGAAGAAGCCCCCTGCCTTGCCCTGGAACCTCGTCCTGTGCCTGCCTCCACGCTGGCCTTGAGCGTCAGTCTTGGGGCTATGGCCCAGGGCTCCTTTTGGCCCCTCACCCTATTTTTCCTGTGAGAATGTTTTTACTGGTGTATATTTTTTACTGGAAATGAGCCTTTTAGGAATGAATGTAGACTGGTTTGTATTAAAACTTGTAAATTGCTTAAGAAAAATCTGTGGCTGGTCCATGAGGCAGCCACTGAGGGTCCCACCCAAGGCTTCGGCTGGTGAGGGAGCCCCAAGGGGGAGGAGAGGGAAGAGCCCAAGCCTTGCCCCTCCACACTGGCGGGAGCCCTCGGGTCCAGCTCGGGCGAGAACCCTGGGCTCAGAGGTCCGTGGCACAGATCCAAACACACAGCCCAGTCACGGGGAATGACACTTTTCATTGGGGTTAGTTGGGAGAAGAGGTTAATGGTTACAGAGCCGGGGCCTGGGCCAACCAGATTGGGCTCCAGCCCCAAGGCGAGCAGTGCACTCTTGCTGTGGTCCGAAGCCCCCTCCCCTGTGTCCTCTCAGGCGGTTATAGATAGAATAAATTCCATTTAAAATATATGCATTTCTCTCTGCTTAAAAAATAACATTTACAAGTTGAAAAAGTTTGGATTTTGGGGAATCTGTTAATCCCACTGTCTCCATTCGTGCCAGCTCTGTCTCACTGGGGAGGGGGGGGCAGGCCTGGGTACTGCCACCACCACAGAGAGCAGGCCCCTGGCCACTTATTTACATGTCCTGTGTACACTGTGCAGACCTGGTGAGACACCCAGGCTTCACCAGCCCCTCAATGTGCCAGGATACCACAGCAGGTGTCCACAGGCCCTGGGGGTGGGAGAGGGCAGAGGAAACACTGCAGGAGCCCTGCCCCCACCTTTCTTCCTGGGAAGGAAGCTCTTACCAGGGTCCCTGTCCATGGAGGAGGGGCTGTCTGGTCAGATTACACGCTGGGAGGGGGCTCTGCTGAGATAGCAGCTTCTGACAAGTCCCCTCAGCCTCCCACGGAGACTGCCCTCCAGAGCTGCTGCGTGGACAGCCACAGGCTTGGAGTAGCAGAAGGGCCCGCGCTCAGGCAGCAAGAGCTTCTGCGCTGGGGCAAAGGCGACAGACACTGCAGGTCACGATGGGCACTTCCGAAGGCCACCAGAAGCGCTCAATCTAGCATGGCATCCAGCTGGTCAGCCAGGGCATCAAACATGGTGCTGATGTCATCCAGAATGTGCTTGGCAGAGGTGCTGGGAGGGCTGCAGCGGGGGAAGGACCAGGTCTGATCAGAAACTGGCCTGCACCCCATGGGCTATGGGTGGGCTGGGGGCTGTTCCCAAACTCCTGGCTGATGCCAAGCACTCTGCGTGCATCTTACTTCTCAGCCTCCCGAGGCAGCAGGAGCTGCGGCCCCTCACAAGGGTACAGGGCTCAGGAGGAAGGGATGTGCTCCAGCTCACATGCCTCTATGGGCCAGCCACCAGGATTCCCCACAGGTCAGATCTGGGTGGTTTCAGAACCTGGGCTCTGGCCATTCCAGTAAGGGTCACCCCAGCCTAAGGATCTGTCTGGGCACCCTCCCCCCTGCTCCTGTCCCCTGCCAACATCCCCAGGACCCCGGGGAAGAGGATCGAGGAAGAGCTGTTCCTCCACTGTAGCCCCTTCCCTCCCTGCACCCAGCACCCAGCACCCCTCACCCCTCTCGCTCCTCAGCGCCAATGCTCTTCTCTGCGGCCCGTAATGCAGCTGCCAGGGAGGAGCTGGTCTGTTCCAGCCTCTGCTGGGCCCGGCCAGAGCCCACAGTCCCAGTGCTCTCTGGCCTTGGAGGAGGCACGGGGCGGGGGCCAAGCCGGGGAGCCAGCTTCGGGCCTGAAAATGCCAGCTGGGTGCAGGCCACAGACACAGGCTTGGGGGCCGTTCCTGCAGAGACAAAACGGTTGGCTGTGACTTAATGGGCCGGCTACAACCTTTGCAACAGTGCCCCCTCCCACAGGCCCTGCCTCATACCTGCACCTGGCACCTTGATGAGGGCAGCGGGGGAAGCTGGGGGCTCTGTCTCCCCGTGCCGCCAATCACCTGTTGAGCTTTCCAGAGCAGGCCCGGGGCAGGGGGGTGCAGAGGGCTGGGTTTGGGGGCTGGGAGAAAGGGGTGCTGGAGCTCCCTGAGTTGGAAGGCTGCTAGGGTCCGGCCGGGGAGGGCTGGGAGCAGCTGAGGAGGGCTCGCTGGGGGTCTGGGAGGGCAGGGGGGCAGAGGGGCTGGGCGTGGCACTGGCCACCCCGAAGGCCAGCAGGGCCGTCTGCAGCGGCTCTCTCTCCCGGCATTTGGGTCTCCGCTTGACAGTGTCTGACTCTGTGAGGTTGAAATCCAGGCCAGCGGGCACAGGTGCCTCCCGGGGAGGGGGGCCAGCTGGCTTCGGCCGCTGTTTGATGGTCAGGTTCCCCTCCTCTGCAAATGGGAGCCCCTCCCCTGAGCTGCCCCGAGATGGGGGCGTCCCCTCAGGCCCCGGCTCCTCCTCCTCTGTGTCCGACACGGGCCCTGCTGGCACAGGCGGGCTGGGGGGCTCCGAGGGTCCGGTTGGCTCACTCAGTGTTCGCCTTCGGAGCCCAGAGGCCCCCTCCTTAGGCCCCGGGCTTTCATCTAGCGGAGGCGCCTCTGTGGTGGGGCCAGAAACCGAGCTGAGACGTTTAGGGGGTGGGGGTGGCGGGCCTTTGCGTCGGGCACGAAGGGCAAAGGACTGGCTGCGGGGAGCCCCTCGAGCTGGGGTCGGGCTAGGGCTGGTCCGCGCTAGGGCACTGCGTCCTGGTCGCCGGGTGAGGGTGGCATAGCTGCCCAAGGCACTGTCCGCTGGCGCCTCGGCCTCCCCCTCTGCTTCCCCCTCCGCAGGGCCCGGACGGCTCAGGCTGTGTGACCGGCGCTTGGGCCGGGGTGGGTCCGGAGGAGTGGCAGGAGGACCAGCCAAGTAGGAGAAGGCACGGGGTGCCCCGGGAGGTGGCCCTGGAGCTGGGCTAGAGGGTGAGGCCTGGGGATGCATAAAAACGTAAGGGGGAGGCCCTTGGCCAGGAAGTGGGGAACAAAGCTTAGAGGGTCGCTCTGTGCCCTCTGGAAGGTTTCTCTCCTGTGGGGTGCTGGAGTCTCCACCACTGGGCTGGGGGGCAGGCTGTTCCTGTGAGTGCCCGGACCCTCGTGAGCGTGCTCCAATGCTCTCCTGGCTGGGGGAGCGGGCGGGGGGCAAGGGGAGTGGCTCGGGACCACCCCCAGCCATGGCTGCCTGTAGCTCTGGGCTTAGCTCGCTGCCCTGAAAGGTGAGGAGGCGTGGGCCGGTGGCAGCCGGACCGTCCCCATTCTCCAGCCCCTCGATGGCCATGAGCTCCGGGCCTCTGGCTAGCCGGCGGCCACCGCCTTCAACCGGGACCTCCCCCTGCAGGAGGCCCCGCCGCAGCTCGGCCAGCCGCTTCACTCCCAGCATCAGCTTCTTTTGATGACCTGAGAGGGGACGGGTAGAGGCCACAGGGTTAGCCGGGGCTGCAAAGGGCCACCCTAGCCCCTCCTGGACCCCGTTCTCCCTGTTGGGCCTGAACCCTGGGACATCTTAGAGACCCTTGGAGGCACGTGGGGGCCCGGCCAGGAGGCCCCAGGGCAGTCCTCACCGAGCTTGTTGACTCCGATCTCCTGCAGCTCCTCCCAGGTGAGGTCGGCCACCAGCCCCATGGAGTCGTAGCCGCTGCTCACTAACTGCTTGTGGTACTGCGGCAGCCCTAGCGCACACAGCCACTCCCGCAGGTCCGCCTGGAAAAGGACCCCATGGGAGCTGGCTCCCTGGCCCGCTGCAGCCCCCAAGCCAGGACGGGCCCACACGGCCATGGCTGCGGGTGGGAGCCGGTGCCAGCCACCTGCTTACCGGGATGTAGTTGGGCAGCCACTCGGCGATGCTGAGCTGAGCAATCTCTGAGGCGATTTTCTTCCTGTGCCCAGGCTTGGTCACCCCGATGGCCGTCAGGTCCTGCCACACAGACTCGTGCCATCAGGCCCCGTCCGGCGCCCACTGGGCCCTCCACTGCCCTCCTGCTGTAGCACCTACCTCAGGAGTCATACGGCTGATGGTTGGCACATCATAGCCAGCCTGCAGAAAGTGGGCGGTGTAGCCTTCCAGCTGGAACTCACTCAGCCAGTTATGAATGGCCTGAGCGTCCTGTGGCATAGGGGCAGAGGCTGAAGTTAACAGAGCCGAGCCTACTGAGGAAGAGCCGAGGCCGTGGCCCAGCCACCTGTTCCAGCCTCCCCTAGGGACCTGGCCTGAGTCCATACTGGCACCCATCCCACACCACTGTGCCCCCCGAGACCCACAGCCTACTTCCCAGTGGAGGTCACACCTTCCCCTCCAGCAGCTGCTCCGGCCTCACGTCCTGGGTGAAGAGCTGTTCCCCAGAGCGGTAGTGAACCAGAGGGCGGTGGTTCAGGTTGTCTTTGGGAGGGAAAGAACTGGAATCAGGAGCGGCACGGTGGAGGGATGCCCACCCAGGTACCATTTACCCCCTTCCTACCTGCCAGGGGTAGTGGGTGCAATCCCGGCAGCACCTGGTCCTCTCCCGTGGAAGGCAGAGGCTAGAGACAGGGAAGGGTCTACTCAGCAGGTGGGGGGCTGACTGCAGGGTTTAGGGCTCTGTCCTGGTCCCAACACCCCCTCTCTCCTACCTGGGCGTTCTCAATAAGAAGGCCAGTGCCATGGCCGTTGGTGCCCTCGGAACTCTGCCCGCTGCCGGCACTGCGGATGCTGCCCACGCTGCCCTCACTGCCCACACTATTCCTGTCACCTGCTACAGGGGCACAAGCAAAGAAGTTATAACCCCAGTTGGCCCTGCCAACAGCTGACTGGCAGCTTGCCAAGGCCAGATGCCCACCCTGGTGCCTGGCACTGCCCTCTGGGAGGATGTACCTGGGCTGTCTGGGCTGAGGCCCACCCGAGGAAGCTGGCCATAGGGTAAAGGGTGTAAGGGGTCATCGGCAGGGGGCTGTGGTGTCCGAGAGAAGCCTGGGCGCAGGGGGGTGGGAGCAGATGGGAGGCGAGGTGCGAGGACGCCCACCCGCTTGCTGACCACCTCCACGATGCCTGGGGGGAAGTAGCCCACACGGTCCGTGCCCCTCTGGCTCTCATGGATGTGGCCCTTCCAGCGGCCATCGGGATGCTGCTCAAGCACCT